TCAGAGCAGGAAATACTAATTGGAGTTTCTTAAGACTTTTTGGGCTTTCATATGTGTCAACATATATTTCATTTTCTTTTCCATAATTTCAAAACTCATTTTTCAAATGCATATAAGTTATTAGAATAAGTTCAGCCTTGAAATTTAATTTTTATTGTAGAGAACAAAATGAAATGAAATGTCAAAATTACAGATAGAAACATCTATCCATCTGAAAATATTGAATAAAGAGAAAATATTTTCCTAATTTTTTTTTGTCTGTAATTCTTCCATTGGTGAGCCTCATGTGAGATTTTTACTATTCATCACCTCTTTTCAGTAAGAAGTGTGAATTAGAATAATGATATAACCAATAAAACCAATAGATTTTTTTGTTTGGAGTTAGTTATTTTTAACAATATTTTCTTTGTGTATCTCTTTTAAAATAGCAATTTAAGTCTGAGGCCTATCAACAACAGATAGAAATGGAAAGACTGAACCATCAAGCAGAGCTTTTGCTAAAGAAAGTAACAGAAGAGAGTGACAAACACACTGTTCAAGACCCATTAATGGAACTGAAATTGATATGGGATAGTCTGGATGAGAGAATCATCAACAGACAGGTAAATACCAAGACTTTCCTTAAGAAGTTATACATTTTCCATTTCAGATATTAATGTAAAATGATTATTAAAGGTAAAATTAGTATTTTTTTCTGCTTCTCACATGCTATTTTTAACCACAAGGAGCATCAAACTTAAAACGTAGAAGGATATGATGATTAGCCTTCATTGTATATGTTTATGGACTTATGCAGCATAAAACAATTATTTTTTATCCTTGTTTTATAAAGACATATCATTTATAATATAAAATTTATAAATGCATTTTCTTCCTTCCCACTTTTTTGATAGCATAAACTGGAGGGTGCTCTGTTAGCGCTGGGTCAGTTCCAACATGCCCTGGATGAGCTCCTGACGTGGCTGACACACACCGAGGGCTTGCTAAGTGAGCAGAAACCTGTTGGAGGAGACCCTAAAGCCATTGAAATTGAACTTGCCAAGCATCATGTACGTAGCTGTTATTGCATGTTCTGTTTCTTCTCTGTCCATTTCCAGTGTCATTAGATTTCTTGGATATATTTCTTCTTTATGTGTGTTTCAAGTTTATGATTTTGACACAAGTTCATATGTGACATTTATAACTAAAGGTTAAACTACTTAAAACAGTATAGTCAAAGTATTTTTCCTAGAAGATTATGATCAAAATATTTTTCTCATTCAAGACAATTATCAAACAAAACAAGGATGAGCAATTTGTGCTAAAGTTTATTAAGGCTGCATGGCAAACACTAAAGATTTAAATTCCTAATTATAGCTCTGCTTGTGATAATGTCACCTCTTTTTTTCCCCCATTTATTTATTTTATTACATTTTAGGTTTTGGGGTACATGTGAAGAACATGCAAGATTGTTGCATAGGTACACACGTGGCAATGTGATTTGCTGCCTTCCTCCCCATCACCTACATCTGGCATCTTTCCCCTTGCTATCTCTCCCCAGCTCCCCACCCACCACCGTCCCTCCCCTATTTCCCCCCAACTGACCCCAGTGTGTAGTGCTCCCCTCCCTGTGTCCATGTGTTCTCATTGTTCAACACCCACCTATTAGTGAAAACATGCGGTGTTTGATCTTCTGCTCTTGTGTCAGTTTGCTGAGAATGATGGTTTCCAGGTTCATCCATGTCCCTACAAAGGACACAAACTCATCATTTTTGATGGCTGCATAATATTCCATGGTGTATATGTGCCACATTTTCCCTATCCAGTCTATCGTCGATGGGCATTTGCGTTGCTTCCAGGTCTTTGCTATTGTAAACAGTGCTGCAATAAACATTCGTGTGCACGTGTCTTTATAGTAGAACGATTTGTAATCCTTTGGATATATATCCAGTAATGGGATTTCTGGGTCAAATGGAATTTCTATGTCTAGGTCCTTGAAGAATCGCCACACTGTCTTCCACAATGGTTGAACTAATTTACACTCCCACCAACAGTGTGAAAGTGTTCCTATTTCTCCACATCCTCTCCAGCATCTGTTGTCTCCAGATTTTTTAATGATCGCCATTCTAACTGGCGTGAGATGGTATCTCAATGTAGTTTTGATTTGCATTTCTCTGAATTGTCACCTATTTTTTAAAGTTGTTAGGGATAGCCTTCAAAATCATAGGCTGAAAATGTCCTACTGCAGGTTTTATGTATATTGTCACTCTGGTCATTCATATTTCCATGTCTCTTTCGTTTGCAGCTTGTTTGTCATGTCTGACATTGTTTTTTATTTTCTTGAGACGGAGTTTTGCTCTTGTTGCCCAAACTGGAGTGCAATGGCACAATCTTGGCTCGCTGCAACCTCCGCCTCCCGTGTTCAAGTGATTATTCTGCCTCAGCCCTCCCAAGTGGCTGGGATTACAGGCACATGCCACCACACCTGACTGAATTTTTAATATTTTATAGTAAAGGTGGAGTTTTACCACGTTGGCCATGTCTCAAACTCCTGACCTCAGGTGATCTGCCTACCTTGGCCTCCCAAAGTGCTGGAATTATAGGCGTGAGCCACCACACCCGGCTGTCTGACATATTTTTATCTGTACATCTCTTATTATATTGAGGTTTATCCCTTTGTCTGCATTTCACTCTTGTCTTTGAATTTTTGTATCTTACTCCTTTTCTTTCTGAATTAATTGTTAAAAATATTTATTATGTTTTAAAAAGTTGTTATATATCCTACATTTGATTTAAAGCTTGTAAGCGGAAAAAATTTTGTCTTAAGAGATACATGCAAAGCAGTCTTAGATTGTCACCTTTGTAACACTTCTTAATAGATCATTCCCTATCCCTTCAGTCACTAGACTTAATTAATAACAGATTATGTACAGTAGAGTTTACCCTGGCATTCAAGAATCTTTCATAGACCTTGATATTCACATTAATAGTGGTATCTTCAGAATTGTAAATCCTAAATTAAAATAAATTTTCCTTGATTATCAAATAGGAAATGTTTATTTTACATATTGATTAACATTTTTTAAAAGGTAGGTTTTAGCACTTTATGCTGTGCAGTTTTTGACTATTCTAGCTTTTGTTCTTCTTCTTTTCATACTTCCCCACAGTAATTGTTCCCTAGTTTAAAATTTTCTTTTTCTCTTACCTGATCTGTCTACACTGAGAGTCATTGCCCAGCCATATTTGATTAAACAAATTGGATTTATTTTGCATACTTAATGTTTACAGAGAAGCTTGTTTCATTATTTAATGTCTGCATTATATGTTTGCTTAGAGCCATAATGACTGGTGAGACCAACTGCCTAGCAACAAAATATGTTTAGTTTCATGGTGTGAGTTTATAGCTGGATTTACATTTTTATAAACCTATCAGTTGTCTTAAAAATAGCATACATCAGGTTAGAACTTTGTATGAAATGGTAGAGGTAGAATGAGGCACCCTGATGCAGTTATTTTGGTGGGGATATGTAAACACCTCTTACTTCTGTTTATCTAATTTTGAGTGGTTTGAAATGGCTCCTTCTCTCTTTTCTCTTTTCCTTCCATTCCTCGAAGATCAAAATTAGAGGACATAAAATTCCCAGCAGAATTGCTGGAGGAAGAGATGAATGCTTCCGTCCCTCTCCTGCTTTCGTCTACTCCTGAGCTCTGACTTTGTAGCAGGACTCACACCATTCAGAAGAATGAATTTTGTAGAATTCTTTTTTATATTTTGACCATGAAAACATTTAACTTTTTGATTTTGAGAGTGATCCTACTCTTATCAAAATACATGCTTTCTATAAAGATAACTCCATTCAGTTGGTTTTTATAGCCTTTGAAAAACACTCCCTAACCAGGTGCCTCAGAGTATTTGAGTGCATACAGTCAGAGAAACAGTGATATCAAAGGGTTACTGATCTTCACTGCAAATCCTCCCTGGTCTGATTTCCCTCCAGATGTGTGATGTGTTACATAGTGTGGGAGATGATGTTCTTTTTCTTTACTATTGCCAAGCCTGAGTCAATGAGTACAGGGTAGGATCAGCTTTTACTAACATTAGAGGGAGGTTTCTTCTGCTTTACAAAAATGTAAGCATAGCTTCCTTGAAAGGAATCTATATTACTAAAGCTATACTCATCCGGTAAAATGAATTGATTTTTTTTTAACCTTAGGGTTGCTTTCTGCACTTACCCCATTTTAGTGCATTTAAGCATTGTTAACCTGTTCATATATTTCCAGTGTGTAAAAGGAAGGCATTATGTGCTGGGTTCTGTAGTAGGCATTTCATTATGTATGTTTTCTACTAAAAGAACAGCTGGATTTTAGAATGCTGGGTTTAAGTATCTCTGATATAGAGTGAAATCTTCTTTCTGTTAGTTTTAGGGCCTTCCAATATTTCAACTTAGCAGTCAATTCCAGGACTCCTCCAATGAGAGAAGATATAGGAATAATCTGGGATTTTTTTTTCTCTCTTTCAGAATGCTAATTGTAAAATATGGTACTGTATATCTTAGATATAATTATATATTCAATAATGCATATATAGGAGTAAAAATGTATTTTGATTGCTTGACATGAGAATTAAACTAAAATTAGCTTGAACCAAGTGAGAAATTTTAGAACCTTTTAATTATAATCTCTAGATATTTAGTGTCATCAATTGCAAGGGCATTCTAGTGGGAATAACTAGCAAAGTGTTCTCACACAGTCATTTCAGGGGACATCAACAGAATAAACGTATATCTAGGAAAGCTGCAAATTTAAGGGAAAGGAAATTCGTCATTTAAAAACTTAATATTAGTCAGCCTGGGCAACATAGTGACACCACGTCTGTACAAAAAATAAAATAAAATTAGCCAACCATGGTCATGTGTGCCTGTAGTCCCAGCTACTTGAGAGGCTGAGATGGGAAGGTTGCTTGAGCCCAGTTGTGGAGGTTGCAGTGAACTATAATAACAACACTATACTCCAGCCTGGCCAACAGAGTGAGACCACCTCATCTCTTAAAAAAAATTAAAATACACATACAAGGTTTTGTTTCCGGATGTTTAATAACCAGAAAGGAAAACAATTGCATTAAAGATAATATTAACATGTTACACACTAGCAAATATGGTCTTATCTTAATACTTCCAGGTGCTCCAAAATGATGTATTAGCCCATCAGTCCACAGTGGAAGCCGTTAATAAAGCAGGAAATGATCTAATTGAATCAAGTGCAGGAGAAGAAGCAAGCAACCTTCAGAACAAGCTAGAGGTTTTAAATCAACGCTGGCAAAATGTTTTGGAAAAAACAGAACAAAGGAAGCAGCAGCTGGATGGTGCCTTGCGCCAGGTGAGTAAAAGAATAAACTCTGAAAGCTTCTATAGCATTCAAGACCAAAATAGCATGGAATTCTTTTATTAGTTCACAGACTCCTGTTTAATTTTTATACCTTAAAGAGAGGAGTGAGAATAAGTGGAATAGAACAGAACAGCAGAAGAGAATGCAGCTTTCTACTTCTTAGCATAATACTCTTATCTACTAGAGCTCTCTTGATGAAGAAAGGCAAATCTAATGGTACCTGGCTGTTCTTAAGAATGCACAGAGAGGCTTAGCAGGCTGGGATTGTTTGAAGCTTATTTCCTGCTGGAAACTTAAAGTGTTTATGGCCCCAACTTAAAACTCCCTCTTACTTCAGGCCAAAGGGTTCCATGGTGAAATTGAGGATTTGCAGCAGTGGCTGACTGACACAGAGCGTCATCTGTTGTCATCCAAACCTCTGGGAGGCTTACCGGAAACAGCCAAGGAGCAGCTTAATGTCCATATGGTAAGCAAAGTATTTTCTACAGCTTTAGCCTCAGAATAACTGCCCATTTTGTGTGGGCTCTGGTGATACGAAAATCATGGAAGAAGGCTTTAAAGGATGTAGGGTTTATGGCAGAAATCACTATGTATATATGCTAGAAACATACCATGTATTGATTAAAATTTTAAAGTCAGAATCTATTCATTTCAAAGGTTAGTGTGTCAGTATATGAAAAGAGGTTTTAGAATTCTAGACACTTTTTAGAAGCAAACCTTCCCCCACAAAATGATACGCTTGTATGAGCAGCAACATAAATTATAAAACTATTGTACCTTGAAATGTAAAGAAAAACCTCCAAAATAATCAGAATGATTTAAAATTGTAATAAGCATGATTGTCTCATTTGGTTTCATGGAAAGTTGGAAAAAATACTCTTGTTCTGTTAAAAAAAAAAACAAAAAACTTTCTTGTTTGATTTAATGGTGATAGAACTTTATCTTCAACTTCATACGTACCCCAAATACAGACAAGAAGAGGAGACTTCTGTTTAATTGTCCAATCTGGAGTGTTGTACCTGTGGGCTGTTCTACCTAGATCATGTGACGTAGCTCCTAAGAAGGAAGAGGAAGAAATCATGAGACTTGAAATGTGGGCTTTCTTTCATAGAAATAGGGACTGACAAATTAAATTTAGGCTACTTTGGATTTATTGACATTTTAAATTCACATTCCATTATAATTCAGCACTAGAAGTTCTGAGCAGAAACAGTGTTTCAGATTTTGAAAAAAGAGTCCCCTAATTTTTACATTTGTTAATTTACATCAGAAGTTTAAAAAAATATTCAAATACTGATGATTATTATATTGGGAGCTAAAAGTACAAGTACTTAGAAATTTAGCAAAAGAAATTGGTCATTGTAAATCTATATGTACACTATTTAAAAGAGATTTAATGTTTTTGTAAGATCTTAATAAAACTGTACTTATTTGGAAATAATTTTGCATTTGGTGATTTGAAGAGGAAGTAACCATCTTGTAGATATTGTAAAGACTATAAAACAGACTATGACGGTAGGTAGCATCTTACTCACTTCATAATCACCATGAATAGTTTAAGTAAGTCCTACTAATTTGGTATAGAATTTTCTAGAAATCTTTGTGGTATACTTATTGTTTTAGAAAGTTATTATGTGTGTGTGTTTTTTTTGTTGTTGTCGTTATTGGTTTTTAGTGCCACAGGAGACCTATATGTTTCACTGGAAAAGTAATAGACCGAATAACTTGTAAGGGCTTATCTTCCTTTTTTAAAAAAACCTGAGAGACTTCCAGATAACTCTTTACTTTCCTGGAAGTACTTGCACAGCTTTGACGGTGTCCAATAATTAGAAGTTTAATGAAGTCATAAACAGATAGATGCTTGGGATTATTTTCTAATCATATAAGTATTTTTAAAATGCTGATTTAGAATAATATAAGAACTTGAAAGCAAAGAACTTATCTTTACAATATTTACTTTTAGAAAAATCTTCCATTTTAGCTAACCATGTTTGAGTGGGGTATTTAAAATGAATTTTTGTAAGCCTATATAATATATTGTAGAAATCGGTTTAAGTTTAAATCTGTGATTTAAAGCATTCTAAAGAGTTGTTGATATTTATAATATCATGTCAATGAAGATCTTTTGATTTTGTTGTGCTAGAAATGAAAAAAAGTACAAAACTTACAATATTAGTTTCCTGAGTTTTTAGCTGTATCTGAAAGTTTTGCCTTAGGATTTAAAGCTTTTAGTAGGTTATACTGTAAATATATTTAGATAAGGCTTTTTTTTTAAGGCTTAAGAAATAAATTTTTGAGGCGCTGATAATATTCTGGGGTTTGTGGTGATTACAAAACCTTATGAATATAATTTTAAAAACATTGAGTTGTATACTTTAACATGGCAAATTTTATATGAATTATATCTCAAGTTTTGAATCTTACAAAGTTGAAAATGTAAGGGAGACATAAAATATATAATCTTTCAGTGTGAACTATGATTTAACCCACATTGTAGTTGAATACGTAGAATAGAACTGGTCTTAATTTTTTAAATGAGAAGTAACTTGTTTTGTTGGTCTTAAAGTTTGAATTTGTTTAAGCAATATTTTCTTATATTCTATATAGAAGATACAGCGTTCTAGTTAGTACAAGGAGGGATCTATGAGAACCTCCCATTTTACAGAGGAAGGAATTGAGGCTCGGAGAGGTGAAATTACTTGCCCATGGTCACAGAACTAATTAGTTACTATACAGTGAAAGCTTTCTTAACAGCATTTAAACTATTGCTTCAAACCTTAGCATGCCAGAATAAATTGATAGTGATAACACCATTTTTGAGATTTCTCAGTAGACAGGGTATGACTGTAGGTTTAGTTGTTGTTGCAATGTAGTGAAATGTTTTAATTGGTCATGATTGCTCTGAGAGAGCAAAGAGAGATGAATATATGATGAGGGGCTTGGGACTGATGACCTAGTAAAATAGAACTCTTAAACTTTACTTTCTTAAAGTGATATGACCTGGGGGTATCTCAATTTAGGAAGTCTGTGCTGCCTTTGAAGCTAAAGAAGAAACATTTAAGAGTCTGATGCAGAAAGGCCAGCAGATGCTTGCAAGATGCCCAAAATCTGCAGAGACAAATATTGACCAAGACATAAATAACTTGAAAGAAAAATGGGAATCGGTGGAAACCAAACTCAATGAAAGGAAAGTATGTGCTTTGATTAATGTAATAGAATCAGCGTTTTAGTGTTTCATTTCATGGACTTTGCCTTATTTCTGAGTTGAGCTATTAGGAGTAGAACTTTTAATGATTCATGTTTAAACATTCTTTGTATACATTTGGAGATTTCATGGGGTTAGTTGAAAATAATATTCTCTTTTAACATGAGAACAAATTTAAAGGGGTGGGATATATTCGAAAATAGGTTAAGATATAGATCGAATGTTACTCAGGTATATTTTTAAATGTTAAGGACCACTCAAATTCTGGGTCATTAAATCTATTTTAATCTAATTTGTTTAATGTAAACAAAAGGCTGTATGTATATGGGGGGAGGGAGAGAGGGAAAGCAAGAGAGTGAGATGATCGTTTATATATTTTTAAGTACTTACATTAAAAAATCCACAAGAATGGATTAAAATGTATGTTAAATTATGAATATGTTTTTGTTTTTTGAAACCACAAAAATGACAATCTAAGAAATCTCAATATTGCTGTTTAATGCCATGAAAAAAAACAGTAGACTAGGAATACTAAATTGTATGCCATCACTGATGGAGCATAAAGTATAGCTCTTATTGTTTTGAGCCCCCAAATTAATTGTATGAATGTCAGTTTTCCTTTTTACAGATTCTGTTTAGTAGTTGTGTTCTTTGGTTGGTTTACAAAAAACATGCTTTAGTGTATACTAAATATTTTTTTTAGTTATAATGAGATGTTGCTTACTAGGCTTAAAGGGTTTTGGTTTGCCAGTATTTTAGTGAAGCCCATTACCTTTATAAGATATTTAGTTAATATATTAATAGCTATGCATAAATAAAGTGGGGATAGAAAGGAATCTGCCAGATAGTGTTTAAACTGAAACAAACAAAATAACCAAGACCCTTAAACATCACATACTAAACAATCTGTCTTTGCAGACTAAACTGGAAGAGGCTCTCAACTTGGCAATGGAGTTCCACAATTCTCTCCAAGACTTCATCAACTGGCTTACTCAGGCTGAACAGACCCTAAATGTAGCTTCTCGGCCAAGTCTTATCTTGGACACAGTCTTATTTCAGATTGACGAACACAAGGTATGTAGTGAGTCCAATAGATAGCATTCTCCTTTCAGACACCAGGGTGCTTTGTTTTTTGTTTTTTTGAGATGGAGTCTCACTCTATTGCCCAGGTTGGACTGTAGTGGCACAATCTTGGCTCACTGCAACCTCTGCCTCCTAGTTTAAGCAATTCTCAGGCCTCATCCTCCCTGCAGGCAGCTGGGATTACAGGCACCCACCACCACGCCTGGATAATTTTTGTATTTTTAGTAGAGATGGGGTTTCACCATGTTGGCAAGGCTGGTTTTGAACTCCTGACCTCAAGTGATCTGCTCACCTCAGCCTCCAAAAGTGCTGGGATTACAGGCGTGAGCCACCTGCCTGGCTGTGAGCAGGCCATTTTAATGTCAAAAGCATGCATTTGTTATTTTGAAAGCTTTCGTTTGTCCTTTAAAACAATTTCAGGTTTATGGTACCAAAAACGTATTTAAGATTGGTCTGATTTTCTTTTGTTTCTACTTATGTCCTTTTTTCCTGGGAAAGGTTTTTGCCAATGAAGTAAATTCTCACCGTGAGCAGATAATAGAACTGGACAAAACTGGAACCCACCTAAAATATTTTAGTCAGAAACAAGATGTTGTTCTAATCAAGAATCTACTTATCAGCGTGCAAAGTCGATGGGAAAAAGTGGTTCAACGGTTGGTAGAAAGAGGAAGATCTTTGGATGAAGCAAGGAAGAGAGCCAAGCAGGTGATAATCCTTGAGAAAAATTCTCTGAACTTGTCAATAAATCACTTCTAGCTGTTGAAATACATGTTATGGGCATACTTTTCTTACAGGCTGTATTAGACATAAAATCATGGCATGGTGCCATGGTGGTTCTTTCCTAAAAGGGCTGTGGCCTCAGTTTGGATGCTGACATCACTTTTTGACCTGGCAGCAACTTCAGCCCCTGGGGACTAATCTTAAGAAGACTGATTATAGCTTGACTTCATAGACAGGTTGTTACATTAAGGCCCAGAAAGCAGCTCAGATTTTTTTTTTAATTGGGTTTGTTTTCTTTTCCTTTGTCCTTTTGACCTCCACCCTCATAATCAGAGTGAGACATCATACTTTATTGTATTGCTACCTTTTGTTTAGTTCCTAAGCCACACTTTTCTTCACAGGCTATCAGCGCTGAGAGCCAGGCACGAAGCCTTCCCAGCAGCTTTCTGAAGGGGCATATTTCTGTCTGAGTTGGTGGGCACTTCCACCTCTTTTGAACACTTGTTGACAGACGTGCATTTCTCCTCTAATATTTTGAGCAGATAATAGAGCTCCATCTCACTTTGAAATTAATTGTGTGAATCTTTTCGGGCCACTTTAAAATTTTAATCTAGAGAATCTCACAAATCTCACAAGGAACTCTCCTTACTCCCTTAACCTGTTATTAACATTTCATTCTAGATTAAGCACAAAGAGGTAAAGTTATGCATCTCTGTGTGTCTTTGTACTCCATGAAGGAGAGAGATGTACGTACCTTGCTTGGCACATACATATTTTTTAAAAAATCTTTGATTTTTACTAGAAGTTAGTGTAATACTGTAGTGAGGATTTTACAGTTACTTGTTGCCTCAGTCAGCTGCATTTTTCTAGCCTTAGTGTTGTACCCCCATTGTTTTGAGTTATGCTCAATTGGGTGATGCAAAAAGATGTCATGGGAGTCAAGTGTTTCAGTGTTTAGTGCTAACAGTACAAATGTTTAAAGGCTTTAGAAATGACAAATTGCATTGTTATGGCATTACACACCATAGATGCCATTTTGAATGGGAGGTATGAAATGTTCAGTGTTACAAGTGAGTCATCGAGATCGACGTGGTCTCTAATGTATCTTTAAGACAGTATTAATTCTGAGCCTGACATTTTTCTATCCACATTATGTGGGTGGTAGCATGCGTAGTGCAGGCATTTCTTGAGTTATGAACATCAATTTATAAATGTTTCTTGGATATTGGTAGCCAGCTGCTCATTTTTTCCCTCCTTTCTTGATTTAATCAATTTTATTTTCTCATTTTGCCTGATTAACTTTATAAATATTTGCTGCTGTTTTTACTGCAAATGTATAGCATTTCCTCTATTTATATGGCTTAAAATTAGTTTTGAAAGTAGAACCAGCCTCAGAACTTGTGCATTTGTATCATTGACCTTACCATCCAGTTATTAGAGCCTGTATTATTTGGAGTCAAACTACCTAACACCTCCACTAGCTGTTTCTTCAGTTTATTTCTTCTTATTCTCATATCTCCATTTTTGGCTCAGATATTGATCATATATCTCTGACTTTTCACAATTTATGTGTCTATTCTAGTTTCCATTTTTCCGTGTTTCAATTGATTAAAGGTTGTGAGAGGGATATGAAGGTTTATGATGAGGTGATCTCCAGAAAGCCCTTACAGTTTTATGAGTCTGTGTCCTTAATCTGCTGTTATTGTTAAATATCTTTTTGTTATTTCATTACTCATGTGGTTCGGTATACAATAGATTTAATTTTGATTACTGAATTTTTTGTTAGGTGTCTGTTCACTTAAGCTTATTGTGACAAATAATTTATAACCAATTTCAGTGTTGTATCCAAAAATAGTACCTGCTGGTTCTTTATGACAAACAGAAAAGAAACTGTGACTGAAATCAAATATATATATATATATATATAGAGAGAGAGAGAGAGAGAGAGAGTACCAGAATGTTTTCAAGGTCCTAGATGCCAAAGAGAATAACAATTTGTTAGAACTCAAATATTGTGGCTGCTCAGACATATAAAACCAATGTGTGAGGAGGCATAGGCATTAATTTGAAGATTTTGAGAGCAGCAGTAAAGCTGTTGAAATATCTTTACATTAAATAGGAATGTGGTGGCCTCTTTTTTTGTTTTTGCTACTTTGAAAAATCCATTTACAAGCTTTTTACTTTGCCTGCCTGGTTTTTGGTCCCCTTTCTTAACATAGGGATTAAATACCCTAAAAGTAAACGCAGAGCTGTCAACAGACAGCAGTGAACAACAACAACAAAAATACAAAACATTTTCTGAGAGTTTATGTTTATTATTGAATGAGAAGAAAGTATAAGGAAGAAGTTCTTTCTGGAGCTTCTTAACTGTTTCTAGGCTCTTTTAGAGCTGGTATGTTGAATGAATTAAAACAAAGTGACTGTGAGGCACAGCCACAAATGCCAAGCATTATCAGTGCTTTTTTTTTTTTTTAATTTTTGTAATTTGTTGATAAAAGCATTACTTTTTCTTTCTTCAGTGGAAACTTTGAAATAACAGTTTCCAGAATTTTTATTATTATTAATCTCTGTCTTAAAAATATACTAGATTTCAAGTTTGATATGCTTGAAAAGTTTTTGAACACAGATGTAAATTTCTTTCCAGTTCCATGAAGCTTGGAGTAAACTTATGGAGTGGTTGGAAGAGTCAGAAAAGTCTTTGGATTCTGAACTGGAAATCGCAAATGATCCAGACAAAATAAAAACACAGCTTGCACAACATAAGGTGAGTCTATAATTAAGAAAAACATATCATCTCCTTATATAGTTCAAGATCACTTTAAAATTCTTACTTCATCACCTGCTTATTTATCACTAAAGAAAAAAGGCTGTTCATTGTGAACCTATATTAAATTTTAAACCTGTTGGTCTTCGTGTTGGTTACGTTGCAATATCTTTACTCTTCAGTGACCATTTCATTATGATTCCAAGGTTAATTGTTTAAAACATACAAAATAAAAATGGAAGTCCTCTACAATCTAAAACAAATAAAGGATTTTTAATGGTTTTGAACATTGGCATTTCAATTTTTCATGACAGCTGTCTTTTCCTAAACTTTATTTCACAGACCAAATGCCACCTTGAAGGTAATTCTGCAGTAAAAAGTAATAGAGATTTTGCAATATAGATTCTATTAAACAATAGAATGGGAAAGATGGGTTGCCCATACCTGAATTCTAAATTAATATTTTATTGTGTTTTTGCATGTATACAATTCCACCCAACCTCAAAGATAACCAATGACATGTTTATAATAGACTAGAAAAGCATGTAGAACCACTGTTTTCTAAATACTTTCTACCTTTTCTATACCTGTTATATTTTATATCTCCCACATGACATCCAAAGAGCATCCCCTCTCACCCTCCCCAGCTCTTTAGAATTTGGATTTTTTGTAATGCTATTCGTAAAGTGACCCCACCAGCCATCAGGGTGAGGATGTAGGTAAAAGAAAAGTCATTCTTGCAGAGTTTTACAGTTTTAGGCATGTACATATAAATTATCACTTGAAACGTGATAATTTTACAAGGCTGGAAAAAATGTGGGCGATATAAAATTTATCATCAGGGGAAATCCTGGCCGTCATCTTCACACAGGTTGGCTGCTTCCATCAGCGGGTCTAACCCCAGGAGGTCATGGTTAGAGGGATGGGAGAAAACATAGTGAGCATCTGTTGTCTGGCTAGATGAGGACTAATGAATGGCTTGTTCTGCTGGCACCCTTTACCTGTGAGCTGCCACACTCAATATTGGGAGCAGCACAGTGACAGTGAACAGCACCCTTCTTCCTTCCCCTCTGATGGCAAAATGAGAGCTTCCTTCTCAAAATAGAATGCTTTGTTTGAACTTGAGCATGGATGTTATATCATGTAGTCTTATGAAAGTATATTGCATATTAAAGTTAGAGAGTCCTATATATAAGAATGTCTACCTTTTTAGAGTCTCTATTTGGCATCAGTGACCTGTTGGCCACAGTCACCATTTCTCTGAGATGCATAAGCAAGATAGTTCATTGAACCAGTTTTAAAAGTCATCTTTTCTATTCATCATTTGGTTACTTTCATCTTTAAAAAACTTTCATCTATCCTGTATTCAAGAATAACATTTTTTTATATCTGCTGTGTGAAGAAAATCTGTATAAATACCATGATTCTATAACAGTGGCATTCTGTTTAGAATAACATGAAAAAACATTTACTGATAACAAACTGGAGAAATAATCTGATTGTAATTGTGTCATCTTTTACTTACAAATTTCCAGATGTAATTGCCTGTTAACCCGTGACGAACTAAATGATTTAGTCATATTGAAACATATAAAGTATGTAGCTTTCAAAGGCAGTAAAAACTTCTTAGGTAATTATAACCTTGAGATTATCTTAGAAAATTGTACATTTGCATAGCATTTTACTATCTAGGGTAATTTTAATTCGTTACAAGGATGGAGAATCACTGTATGAATGTTTCCATTATATTTTGTGAGTCTGTAAGCTTCCCTTTAAGTTGACCTTTATTCTCATGCCTGCTATTGTATAGTCAGTAGCAGGTATCTCATTCTTTCTACTCTTCCTATTGAATACATATACACATCTACTAGGCATAAGATGATAATGAGAGGCCTACAAAGAAATTGTCCTTGCTCTATACAAGCTTATAATTGATTTGTGTAGAAAGACTATACAGATGCTCCTCAACTTATGATGTGTTTTTATCCCCATAAACCACTGTAAATTGAAAATATTGTAAATAAAAAATGCTTTTAATACACCTAACATTAGCTTACAATAAGACAAAATCATCTAACACAAAATCTGTTTTTATAATAAAGCGTTAAATATTGCAGGTAATTTGTCGAATACTTGACAAAGTATGATTTCTGCTGAATCCCTGTGGCTTTTGTACCATGATTAAGTCAAAAAAATCCTAAATCAAGTCATCTTAAGTCAGGGATCATCTATAATTCATCTCTGTTTATTAGGGATGCCTCTGTTAATGCCTCTTACCTATTTCTTTATTAGTCCCAAGTAGAAATGCACATTTTTTTCTTGTTAAATATATAGGAGTTTCAGAAATCACTTGGAGCCAAGCATTCTGTCTACGACACCACCAACAGGACTGGACGTTCTCTAAAGGAGAAAACCTCCCTGGCTGATGACAACCTAAAACTAGATGACATGCTGAGTGAACTCAGAGACAAATGGGATACCATATGTGGAAAATCTGTGGAACGGTAAAATGTTCTTTAAGACAGTTTGGTTACTCTGTAGACCTCTTTCAAATACACAGTATTGGTGCTTTGCAGGGACATTTCAAGAACCTTAAATATTTCCTTTGCCTGAGGAACTTCTGCTTGTCCTAAGTGCCCCAAACACATAGCACTTGCATTGAGAAGGCTTTACTGTTCTTTATTTTTTTAACTACTCATCACAATAAAAAGTGATACCATTGTCCAAGCTTCTGCCACCCCACACCTGACTACACCCACTGCTTCTGACTTGTCTTCTTACGTCCACCTTTATCACTTTAACTTAATTTCTACATAACCACTAGGATAGTCTTTTAAAAATATAAATGGAATCTTACCGTTCCCCTCCTTCATGCCCTTTGGTGACTTCGTACTGGGGGCATACATTGAAACACAGGCTTCTTAGTGTGATGTGCAAGGTACCATTGATCTGGCCCCAGTGTTTCTTTCCACGTCTTTGAACTCCCTCTTTCTCATTACACTTCCATGAAAACCCAAGACATATTTAAAAAATTTTAAGTATTTAGGTACAATAGTAATAGAAGAGTTCAAATATCTTGTACATGTTTCCAAATTTTCCATTGATCCTTAATCTTAATGATTTTCATCAATATCAACATTAAACAGGTTATATTCAGTGCTAGGGAACTCACAGTAAGTTTTTGTCATGTTAGTTTTTTAAAAATCTTAAATTCCTCAGCTGCAAAATGCTACATACCTTTTCCAATGTTGTATAAATGGTTTTGTTTACAACATTTTTGAAAAGACAAAAAAATTAAGTCAAATAAGTAGATCAATGAATGCCAGGGATTTGAAGATGGAGGCAGGGTGTGTCTGGAAAGAGATATAGCAAGAGGGAGATTTTTGGGATGGTAGAACTGTTCTGGATCTTGATTGTGGTGATGGTTACATGAATCTATACATGTGTTAAAATGTATAGAAGTGTATAAAAATGTCAAGTTTACTGCCTGATAATCTAAAACAAAATTTTAAAATTATATAAACAATTTAAAAGGCTTATTTTTATGAAGAAATGTGAAGGATCTATGGTTTCCAAAGGAGGGAGTTTTCCTGGAACAGATGCCATGTATTTAAGGAATAAAAAAGAAAGTTTAGAAAAGTTTTGTTTTTTCCTAAGAAGAGCAAAGAAACAACAATGAGTACCAATATACTGTTCTTCCTCTTTAGTATCACCCAGGCTTCATCAGTTAATTTTAGATGTTCAGGTGTATGAGTGGGTTTTTCAGTTGCCAGGATCAATTTTTCTACCTTTTTCCCTAGACAAAACAAGTTGGAGGAAGCCCTGTTATTTTCTGGGCAATTCACAGATGCCCTGCAGGCCCTCATTGATTGGTTGTATAGAGTTGAACCCCAGCTGGCAGAAGACCAACCTGTCCACGGAGACATTGATTTAGTGATGAATCTGATCGATAATCACAAGGTATTGTTATCTGGGACATTTTATTTTATATTGTTTGATTATTCTGAGTGTACAAGAAAATGTAAACCATTTAAATTAGCCTTTTAAAATCAGGAGACTATATAGATCATACTACATAACAAATTGTTGAAATATGTGTCTATTTGAACAGAATCTGGAAGCTAACTTTAAAAGTGATGGGGAAGTATTATTTAGTATCAGTGAAATGCTTTTGTTTTTAATTACCAGATCGAAAACCTTTTTAGAACTTGGAAAGTGGTTTCATTCTCTGGTGCTTAAAAACAGATTTCAACAATGTTTTACTGTCTTTAGTTATGCACTTAAACAATTATGTAATAAAATTTAAAATCGTTCATTCAGTGACCTGACACTAAGTCATTGCATAATTGTGTAGATTTGTGACATGATCTGTGGGGTTCATGACCAACCACTTTTAAAAATACCAAACCAAAACGGTTTTAACCTTGAACCTTGAACTATAGCAATTTATGAGTCAGCAGCATGTGCTGTAAGGGATTTGATTATTATTTACTTCAAGAAAATTGACTTCCTTGAAATCTCCTGATATATATGTTAAACTGTCATGTCATGCAAATCAAAGGTAATATTCAAGGTATCCAGCTAAGGGTAAGATCCTAAATTATGATCAAATGTTATAAAACATCTTAGCCTTGGAAACGATATGAAGCATAGTACCAATGTAGAATAGTTGTGTCAGAGCTGACTTTATATGAAAATATCGTATGGCACTCTAGTTGAATTCATCTTGTATTTCCTCTCTATAGTTTTTGAGTTCAGAAAACTTATTTATAATGTTCTCTTTATACTGGTTATGCTATTTTAATCTTACCATTCTTTTTTAAATAGTCTTATTGCATATTTATTTCTTCTTTTTTCTTTCTGTTCTGTCATTATACCCATAAGTTTGTTACACTTGAAAAGTGAAACAAACTAAATAAAAAAATAATGAAATAAAACAAAAGGATAAATAAAGAACATTGGTCGATCTACAAAAGTTAAAAATTAAAAAAAAAAAACAAGACTTTGCTTACATTGAAACAATGTTTTGTGCATGGTTAATACAAACTTCTCTATTTCCTGGCATTTATTCAATGAGTAATGAATAGTGTAATGTTACTTTTTACATAAATGCCATTTCTGTAAACTCACTGTCTAAATATTTACTACTCTAGGCAATTGCCAGATCTTTTATATATTAAAGGGCATCAAGAATGAATTAATCATTTAGCATTAGTAATACAACTGGAAGGCTCAAGAAGTTCAAGTATACAAAATGCTTTGGGAAGTCTACTGAAAACTATTGGATTAGTCCTATCATAAGTGGAATATTTAGATACTGTACCATTTGCACATGTGTTTATGTGTGTGTTAATGTGTATATTGGTACATATGTGTGCGTTTTTATCTGCAGGGCATATCCCATTTATAACTGTTAGAGTTGAATCAAATAATCACTTTTGCGATAGCCTCACTTTTGTGAATTATCTATATCAGAATAGAAACCTGTAGATATTGCCAAATGGTAATATTCGTTTATGATTTTTTTAAAACACATTAATTTTATTGTGACAGAATGTTGGTTGTTAATATTTGAAAGATCTAGTTGCATACACAGACTCTTGGAACAAAAATAAAGAGCACTGGGCTCACTTCTTAGATCAGTCTATGGCCAAAATAAACAATTTGACTCCTGGCACATTGAAGTTTGTCAAAATTAGGCAGGAAAAAAAAAAGAAGCTTTCCCTCCACAGTGAAAGACAAGGATTTAAGCCTCTAAAATATGAGGTTATGAGTTAATACCTAAGATGTTATAAAAGAGAAGTGTTATAGGATAAAGGACCATATGCCAACTTCCTATGGAATTCCCTGCCATTATCTCTAAGACCTCTGTGGTATACACATCAGGATTGCTTAGTCCTCTGTTAGCTTCTTAGATACATCTCTTAGAGTAGTGCAGAAGCCATCTTGCACTTGACATTCACACAAATGATTTGAGAGGAATTGGGATACCATATTAATGAATCATTAAAAAAAGGAATTTGATGCATTGTTTTATGAAATTGAAATAAAGAAGACTGGCTGCCATTATTTAAATCCAATATGTCATTTTAAAATAGGGTAATCTTACCTTGTTTTCTCATGAGAATGTGACAGGACTGAACAAATTTCTACAAGTTCTCGATGGTGTTCCAATAGGAGCAGTGTGTCATTTATCTTCTGAGGACGCTACCAAAAATATGGTTAATAAACCATAGGTCTTAGGTATCTGTACATGATGTTATGTGCACATATATATTTCAAACAGTATGTGTTGCTGTTTTGGCTTTGTAATTAAAATTAATTTTTCAAAATGTATTCCTCTTAGGCCTTCCAAAAAGAGTTGGGAAAGAGGACCAGCAGTGTGCAGGCCCTGAAGCGCTCAGCCCGAGAACTCATAGAAGGCAGTCGGGATGACTCTTCCTGGGTCAAGGTCCAGATGCAGGAATTAAGCACGCGCTGGGAGACCGTGTGTGCACTTTCCATATCAAAGCAAACACGGTTAGAAGCAGCCCTGCGTCAGGTAAAAACCATGTTAATGAGAGCTGGGTGTAATGGTGAAAAGTATTGAAACCTCGACAAGTAATAAAACACAAGTAATTGAAACCACAACAAGTAGTAAATAACTGTGAGGCCCTCCTGTCTCAATCAGGACAGTCAGAAGAAGGAAACTCTAGTAGTGTCATTGACTTGATCCTTCTCCCACCCTCCCCCATGAATTTAAACTACTCCTAGAGGGAGGTGTTCTAATCTTCACATGGAAGTGCTGCTTGAGTAATGTGTCAGCTTGGAAGTATGATGGGCTGCCATTCATCTAAAATCAAGTTGTTAAAATGGTAAATTTTTCATCATACAGGCTTTTTTTGATAATCTTAGATGTTTTCTTGTAAAATACATATATCTCTATCTTCTTAATGGGAGTAATGAAACAACTTAAATTTAAGACTTTTTTTTTTAATTGAAGGGATGACCCCATTATACAATTCTGTAAATTGTGCTAACAGGCATATTTGGGGATTTTGTTTGGGGGGTGTGTGTGTGTCTGTGTGAACTCTTAGGCAGAGGAGTTCCACTCGGTGGTACATGCCCTCTTGGAGTGGCTGGCGGAGGCGGAGCAAACCCTTCGTTTCCATGGTGTCCTCCCAGACGATGAGGACGCTCTCCGGACTCTCATTGATCAGCATAAAGTGAGTAATATATAAACACTGAGTAAAGCTAAATGAGGAAAGCAAAGCAGGGAAAATAGATTCATGATTACAAATATCAGCTGCATGAATATTGTCCTTCCTGAGAAATAATTAAATGTCTGGTATATTTGAGAGTGTACTTCTGTCCACCTTGCTTACATACATATGTCCCTGTGCACCCACGCACATGTATGTGTACCTGTCTTTTTATGTTTCCTTTTTAGGGAAGGTAGTTACTCTGTTTCCCATCTCAAGGAAGCTTATTGATTTATCTAGACTTTTTGGCTTTTGACCAAAATTGGTTGATTTTATTGCAGTTATTATGTGGCTTTCAAACATAAAACCTCTTTAATGAGCAGTTTGGCATTTATAAAATTATACCCATAGGATTGTAAATGAGTAATTTTGCCCTTTGTAAACAAGACATACAAGTAATTTAATAACTCGTCTTTAAATCTATTTTAAGCCTTTGCCGCTTCTGTTTTTAATCAAGAGCCTTTTAAATCCTTTTTAGAAGTAACCTATAGTATACATTAAAAGTTTTAAAAATGAATTCCATAAGCTGATATTCTGTTGAATAACTAACCAGGCCTAAATCTGGCTGTTGAGTTTTCAAATCAAGATATTTCCTGTGGCAATGCATGAAACTTGCCAAAACCCTCGAGAGTGATCCAGATATCTCCTAACAGATGTTTTTTAACCTTTGACTCAAAAAGTCAGGAATTTGAAATGGTAACATTCAACGTAGTGTTGATGTCAGCATTTCCTATTAACTTTAAAGGATCTTTTTAACACCAGTAAATAACTTTGTCTTTTGAAGTCAGGCTGGAAATACATCATTAATTCTAGTGTAGCATGGACTACATCATCTGTAGAGACTTGTTATTTTAATTAAACCCTCTATCAAAGATGAGCTGCTGAATCTATAGCAATGAAATACTGCCGTGTCATTTAAAAAGTGGTGCAAGCTTGCATAGCATTTTCTGGAAGAATGAAATGCTGTATGTACCATTTAAATTTATTGAAGCTAAAGTATAAGAATAAGACAGTTGCATCAAATTTATTATAAATTTTTGAGTCAGTTCAATATTTTGAAACTGTAGTTTATATTATGTTACTGCAGGCTTATCATCAGACAGCATTGAGTTCCATTAACATACTTAGGCTTGGGTCTCAGATAGCAATAAATATTTGCTGGACACTGCTTAAAGCCCATTATGCACATCTAACACCCTGCAGAAAAGAGCCTATTTGTGGTATCACCACTCTCATAGCTGGACCGGGAAACCTCCAGGAGGCAGGTGTGCAGAGCAGGGGTAGTGGTTTTTACAACAAATTATTTTTAAATAGCAGAAAATTACGTGTAATTTTATAAAGAATTTCTTAATAATATTTTGCAGTAACACTATTCATTCTTTTCTATCTCCTCTGCTTCCCTTCACACATTCACCATTACTAATCAAAGAAAAACATCCTATTTAATTTCTTAACACCAGGACTAGAGACTTCTGAGTATAATCCAGTTTCTAAAAATGGCAAGCTCTCCCACATGAGAATAAACCAGTAAGGTAAGGTTCAGACTAGGTTAGAAGAGCATAGAATTCAGTGGAACGTTGGTAGTCCGGTCCACCAAATTCTGAGTATAACCTTGGCTCCTTTAGGTGTAGAAGAGATTGAACGTGCGATATTTGTATCAGCTATTCTCTGGGGGAAACACAGATGTTAGATTGACCTATTTTATCTTTTCCTTATAATGTTACAGTTTTTAATTTTTTTTTTCCATTTAGAAGGATCTCTATTGGGAAGTTGATAATTTTTTAAAGTTATGATAATTAAAAAGTAGGTGTTATCAGAGTACACTGTCAACTGAAACTTGACTCCATGATAGTAAACTTGTAAATAAAAGGTCTAAAAAGCATTTATTCAGTAAATCACAAACTCTTTTGAACCAATTACTGGGAACACAAAAGTGAATAAAACATGGTCTTTTAATCTTGTAGACCCTACAGTCTAATAGACATGTGTGTAAACAGCAAAATGCCAGAGTAGGAGGTATGTCACAGAGCTGCTTCACAGAGGTTAAAGACAAAAGGCCACTCACTTAGAGTTAAAACAGATGAACATATTACATAAATTTAAACTTAGATTCAGGGAGTACATGTATATGTTTGCTACATGAGTGTATTGAGTAATAATAGTAGGGACTGGACATCTCTTGTACCTGTCATTCAAATATTAAGCACCGTACCCAATAAGTAATTTTTCAATCTTTAGGCTCCCTTTAGCCTCCGTACTTTTTGGAGTCCCCCGTGTCCGTTATTTCCATCTTTATGTCCATGTGTGCCCATTGTTTAGTGTTCATTTATACATGAGAACATGTGATATTTGATTTTCTGTTTGAGTTACTTCACATAGGATAATTAGCTCCATGCATGTTGCTGTGAAGTAAGTGATTTCACTCTTTTTTATGGCTGCATAGTATTCCATGGTTTATATGTACCACATTGTCTTTTTATCCAGTCAGCTGGATAAAAAGTTGATGGACACTTAGGTTGGTTCTATGACTTTATGATTGCGAATAGTGCTGGAATGAACATATGAGTGCTGGTGTCTTTTTTATATAAGGATTTCTGTTCCTTTGGGTAGAGATACCAAGTATTAGAATTGCTGGGTCAAATGGTGGTTCTAATTTTAGTTTTTAAAAATATGTCCATACTGTTTTTCATAGAGATTGAACTAATTTATATTTCCATCAGCCAGCATTGAATTCCATTAACATACTTAGGTTTGGGTCTCAGAGTAGCAATAAATATTTGCTGGTCACCAACTTAAAGCCCATGGTATATATCTAACACCCTACAGAAAGGAGCAGCAGTGTATAAGCACTCTTTTTTCTCAGCGTCCACATCATTTGTTGTTTTTTCACTTTTTAATGATGGTCATTCTGACTTGTATAATATGATATCTCAGGGTAGCTTTAATTTGCATACCTCTGATAATTAGTGATGTTGAGCATTTTTCATCTGTTTGTTGGCTGCTTGTATGCTTGTATTTCTTCTTTTGATAAATGTCTGTTCATATCCTTCTCCCAGTTTTCAATGGAATTGTTTGTTGTTTTCTTGTTTAGTTGTTTGAGTTCCTTGTGGATTCTGGATATTAGTCTTTTTTCTGAGGCATGATTTGCAAATATTTTCTCCTATTCTGTAGGTTAACTGTTTACTCTGTTGATTCTCTTTTGCTGTGCAGAAACTTTTTTATTTAATTAAGTCCCATTTGTCTATATTTGTTTTTGTCACATTTGCTTTTGGGATTTTTGTCATAAATTCTTTGCCTAGGCCAATGTCCAGAAGAGTGTTTTCTAGTAGTGTTTATATAGTAAAACACCTGTATTTCAAAGTGAACGCCACTGTTCACATAGCGTGAGTGGCATGGGCATCATCTGTGTCTGCAGCCTCTGGCACTCATTGTATAATCACGTAATCTTTCTTGGTGCAGGGGTCCAGATAGACTAGGGTGTCTGCAGATCTCTAACGTTCTATATATTTTGAAAGTGTGTTGCATTTTTAAAGGCAAAGATTCTCATTTGGTAATCACACTTTTAGAGTTCTATGATCTGTGTATCTATGAATACAGTTCTGATGGTAGAAAGTATAATTATGTATGTGAGACATTTGTACAACATTTATTTTAAAGATCATCCTTGAGGATGTCAAGGCTTTGTTCATTCTGCTTGTTCACGGAGACTGGCTAGAACTGCCAGAACTGCCAGAGCAGAGGAGAGTGGCTCTTACTGGTATTTTAAAGGGACAGTTCTCACACGGGCTGACCTGCTGTCAGGTTCACTCTCTCCAACTTCCCCCTCACTTTGTACTGCCTGGACACTTTGGTCCCTCTCTCCCATACCCCCAAATGCTTACATTTCTTTACCCAGCCTCTGTACTTTTTTGTTCATGCTCCTATATTTCCTGGCATAGTTAATGCTATTTTAAATATTAACCTCCTTATCTTATTTGTTAGAACTTATTTTTGTCAAAATCAATATTATTTCTATCTCTAGCAATACTGTCTCTCCCAATGCTATTCTTCATTAATAATATAATTATAATATATCTAAGTTTAGGAGAGTTATTCTTATATAATACATTTTTTAAAGCATGAGATATTATCCTAAAAAGTTGGCCCTCTGTATCCATGTATCAAATCATCTTCAGGTTAAAAATATTCAAAAACAAAATGGATGGTTACATCTGTGCTGAAGATATACAGACTTTTTTCCTTGTGATGATTCCCTAAACACTGCAGTATAACAACTATTTACAATGATTTACATGGTATTAGGTAGTATTAATAATCTAGAGATGATATGAAGCATATGGGAGGATGTACATAGGTCATATGCAAATACGACATCATTTTATATCAGGCACTTGAGCATCCTTGGATTTTAATATGCACAGTATCCTGAAACCAGCTCCTCATGGATACCAAGAGATGACTGTACTCGTATTTTGAAGTACATATTAGAAAGTACTTTGTTTTCTATTTTGTCCGTTTTTCCTCCCCAATTAATGGATGATTTCCACTGTGAATAAACCAATTGAAGTTTTTGTTTGTTTAATTCTGGCAGTCAAACAAATGTCACCAGAGTTTTGTTTTCAGCCAATGCCAGCAGCTAATTGAAGTCTTTCTTTCTGCTGTAGGAGTTCATGAAGAAACTAGAAGAAAAGAGAGCTGAACTAAATAAAGCCACCACTATGGGCGACACCGTTTTGGCTATCTGCCACCCTGACTCCATCACTACCATTAAGCACTGGATAACAATCATCCGGGCGAGGTTCGAGGAGGTCAGTATGTCTCAGATAATCTTCAGAGTGGCAATAGCTTTGAGAGTTGGGGTGGGGGATGGGAGAAATGTCAGGAATTAAGATGCACTTACAGCTGTGGGAAAATGAGACCTCTACATAGAAAATGTTCTTTTAAATACACTTCTTGTATGCATTAAAATCTCTAAAATTCACTTTTATTTAAAAGGTCAGAGGAATTTTGCAGCTATATCCCTGGAACATTCGAAGGCAAATATTTAGGCTGGGTGTGGTAGCTCACGTCTGTAATCCCAGCACTTTGGGAGGCCGAGGTGGGCAGATCATGAGGTCAAGAGATAGAGACCATCCTGAACAACATGGTGAAACCCCGTCTCTTCTAAAAATACAAAAATTAGCCGGGCATGATGGCACTCACCTGTAGTCCCAGCTACTCTGGAGGCTGAGCAGGAGAATCGCTTGAACCTGGGAGGCAGAGGTTGCAGTGAGCCGAGATCGCATGACTGCACTCCAGCCTGGCGACTGAGCGAGACTGTGTCTCCAAAAGAAAAAAAAAAGGAAGGCATATATTTAGTACACTGTATAACATTTTGTCCTACTTCCACATTGTTTCTGTTGAATAATCCAGCAGATGAATGGTGTTTCAGAGTAGTATATACTGGTGGAATGAGTTGGTATACATAAAGTAAATTAATTCTATATGTAATATCTTAGCTTTTTACATTTCTCCTCTGTCCCACATAGAGTAAGCATACCTGATCCTTCAGAGAATGCGTATTTGAACTCAAATTAGAAAGCATAAGGAAGCATAAGTGATTGACATACAGCTTTAAATTAAATTCTGAAGATAATGAACATCGTCATGAGCTCTCATATCCTCCTCAAGCCAGATCTTGCTGCCGATAATGGAGTCTAAAAAGACCAGAAGCATTATGGGTCTAGCCCAGGATGATTCTGTTTACATTTAAAATTTATTTATTTTACATCAGTGCAATTATTTTACTAAGTTGAAGGAAATTCAGATAAATTTCTGTTTCTCTGACAGGTACTGGCCTGGGCGAAGCAACATCAGCAGAGATTAGCAAGTGCTCTGGCTGGGCTTATTGCCAAACAGGAATTATTGGAAGCTTTGCTGGCTTGGCTGCAATGGGCTGAAACTACACTTACTGATAAAGATAAAGAAGTAATCCCACAGGAGATCGAAGAGGTGAAAGCGCTTATTGCAGAACACCAGGTAAAATAAATATAATCCTAACCCCTCTTAACCATTATCTCAGATATTTTCTTTCTTTCACTGCTGTACTTCTCAAAACATTGCTTTGTTCTTGTTATTTTCTCTTCTTCAGACTCCTCAGCCCCTTACAGCTGTGTTTTCAATTCTGCGACTGCCCTAAAACCTCTCTTTACAGTAACCCGCTGTGACCTTTGCGAAACTTTCCTTCTTTGTCCTCTGCGGGATTATATTCATGTGGTATTGTCTCACGTTCACTCCTGCCCTGCCTTTTGCCTTCTAAGTGTCAGCTCTCCTTATTCCTTGTATGTTATCATCAGCTCTCTGCTTCTCTCACTATTCCTCTTTTAGTGATCTTACCCACTTCCACCCCCCTGGCTTCAGTGGGTACCTCGTTTGATTGCTCTGTTTGCATTTTTATGTCTCTCAAGATGACTGTCAGCACTTGGAATACATCATATGAAAAAGGGAATGTGTTGTCTTTCTTAGAAAAAGCATTTTTCCTATATCTCCTATATGTTTTAAATTCAAATGATGGGTGTCACACTCACTTTGATTTACTTGATTGCTCATAAGTTTGTTTAATATGCATTTACAAAGAGAAACATTAAGTGTCAGCTCAGTTGGTTAAGCAATTAATGTTGCCATTATTGTGTGTGCGTGTGTTTTAAAAGCCTGAGACGTCAATGTCTATAATGGCCCTAAGTGTATCAGGTTATGTTCCCTGCGATCAGAGGTCTTAGAGTTCTCCAGTGTGACAAACATTCCAGAAAGGTATTACTTCACTTTTCCCTTTTGTCTAGGTCTCCTTTTCCCTGTCACTTTCCACAGTCTCTGCCTTTCCTCAGCATTTGCTGCATATTCCAAATATAGAGATACCTAGTAAATAATAATAATAAGCCTAAGGAGATGAGATAAGTATTGGCAAGATAGTTAAACCTTTTAAATATAATGGTAGTAAACTTTAACAGAAATAGCTTTTACCATCCTTGAAATAGCTTATTTATGCATATTTTGATATAATCACATTAGATGTGGATGCATTATGACATAATATATCAAAGAGCCATCTTTTTTTTATTGAGAGGCAGGGCCATAGTCTGTTGCCCAGGTTGGAATGCAGTAGGACAGTCATCGCTCACTGCAGCCTCAACCTCCTGGGCTCAAGTGATCCTCCTACCTCAGCCTCCTCTGTTGGTGGGACTATAGGCACATGCACCCTGACCTAATTTTTTAAATTTTTGTAGAGACAGGGTTTCACTGTGTTGCCTAATCAAAAGCATCTTAAATATTTCAAATACGTAGGTGAAATGTGCTATAGAAAAGTTCTTGGAAACACCCTAGCTAACCAATTTCTTTGTGGACAAATGCTCACTAAAGATTCTTCTGAGGAGCTTGAAGCTTGAGTTTGGTTGGTGTACAGACAGGTTATTTTATTCACATGACTTCTCCCATGTGTCCATGCATGCAACTAAAAGAAATTATTTTTATTTTCAATTTACTGACTTTACAAGCAATAACATTTTATATTCTTTAGAAATGAGGAAAGGCTGTATTATGATGGTTTAGATTTTTTTGCCCTAAAGATAAAGCATGGTGATATATTCTTCTTCAGAAATAATAACATGGTTCTTTTATTCTTTTCTTTTTAGTTCATTTCTAAAGATGGTTTTCTCTGGTATACTCTTATTTGATTGACATCATTTGTTTTATTTCAGACCTTCATGGAGGAAATGACCAGAAAACAGCCTGATGTTGACAAAGTAACAAAGACCTATAAGAGGAGAGCTGCTGATCCTTCCTCATTACAATCCCATATTCCAGTCTTGGATAAGGGACGAGCAGGAAGTAAGCAGTGGCCAATTTCTTTAAAATGTCAATAGTTAAGACAAGGGAACTGATTTTATTTTGAGTTATTTGAAATTTGGGGGCAATTAGTGGAGCACTTGATATCATAAAATGTTTTCTTGAATAAATACATGTGCTTATTGTATTTCTACAATACAATAAGTATTGTAGAAACTTATTTAAAAATAAAGAAAAAATATACTGAGGTTTCTATATGTAACTTTATTGTCTTGAAGTGAATCTTTCATATTAGCTAGGAGAAAATTGACAAAAATTTACAGTAAGAATAGAAGTCATCACCCCCTTTGCATTGTCTCATTTTTCTTCTGTTGTATACATAACGTTAAAGCTGAACATAACAAAAATGACCATGACCTGGGTAATGTTCATGACTTAGTTGTTCATTGGTGACCAGAAAACTGAGGGTTTTGCCCATGTTTTTGTGACTTCAGGCTCTATTGACTTCTTGAGCTACTTTAATAACCTGATATGACATTAAAAACAATCCTAATTAGCTTGGAGAAGATTTAAAAGAAATACAATTCGTGTTGTACGTTTTATGCATTTCTGAATGGAAATGCATTTTGTATATTATTTAATTTTTGAATTAAAAAGAAGTGATGTCAGAGTTGTGGTAATTACTTATTACACAAGTTGACAAGAGCCCTGTAGCCAGACTCTTTGGCTGTCTCCAACACTTACCAAACTGAGAAACACAACCCTGGACACGTGACTGAAACTCATTCTGCACCTCAATTTTCTCAACTGTAAAAGAGGATGATTATATCCTCACTGGAATGCAGTGAAAATTAAATGAGCTAGTACATATAAAGTGCTTACCATTCTTCCAGGCATATAGTTAAACGCTCAACTGTTTGTTGTGCTGTAAATCCCAGCTGGGACACTTAACATTCTATAAGACCATAGGCCAGTAATTTTTCTAGGCCACATTTAGCCATTTAGTAAGATGAGAAAAATTTGTTGAGGTCATTGTTTTGTGAAGTTGTTGAGACTTGCGGAAAACAGCCAGCAAGCAGGAGGAAACTTTGGTAAGGCAGTAAACTTGGTTTTGAGACTGTGTACAGGAAACATGTAATCTCAGTGGAAAATGGACTTGGGTGAAGGCTGGGGTCCCATACACATGCTGCCATATTTTATTGGGATTTGTGAAGCGTCTTGCTTTGACTCTTGTGACTGCCCAGTGTCTGCTGCCCTCATCTGCTCTCCCATTCTGCCTTATTCTCTAGGAGGGACAGCTGGGTTTGCTGTAATGCATTGTAAAATAGTCTCACTGGCCTGGGAGATTTCCTTTAACAAAGAGGAGGATCACAGCATGCTTTATTGTCATTGAAATGGCATGAATTTTAAGCTGGAAGATGTTTTAACCATAAATTTATTGAGAGAGCTTTCCAGTGTTTAAATGCCCCTGTCAGGATATATTTCTTTAAATCGTATGAACAGTGCATGATCCTTAATAAGGAAAATAGATTTGGACCTTGACAATCTACATCATCTAAATTAGGATGCTTTTACTTGTACAAACCCACAATTAAGTTGATGCAGTCTTAGCTAGGAGCAAAAAAGGTCAGGCCTTCACACATTTCAGAACCCTAGAAACTGCCATCCTAACTAAAGTTTTATCTTCACAGGAAAACGCTTTCCAGCATCAAGCTTGTATCCCTCTGGGTCACAGACACAAATTGAAACCAAAAATCCTAGGGTAAACTTATTGGTGAGCAAATGGCAGCAAGTCTGGCTTCTGGCTTTGGAAAGAAGGCGGAAACTCAACGATGCCTTGGACAGGCTAGAGGAGGTTTGGAAACTCATAACCCTCACCACCATATTGTCATTTGCCCTCATTCATCATAACACATTGCTATTGCCAATCTCGTTGTTTTTTTTTTTTTTTTTACTTTTCTGATAATAAGCACACTCTTGCTCTTTAAGTACATTTTTAAATTTCCAAAATAAATACCACAAGTATGTATGATTTTGTGAAACATTGATATATGGGATTTGGATTTAGGGAATCAATAAAAAAAAAAAAGATTATGTTTTAACAATCAGAAGCTGATTCCTTAAGAAAAAAAATCTAACTTGACATAATGTTTGCTGGTGATGCTGCCTGGCAAATATATAATCATTTATATTTCAGATCTTTGATTGTGTGTATTTTATTACCTAAGATTTCAAGTTTTAGATTCCGCAGTTGGGAAATTTTTAGAAGCCCTGGTGAGTTAAGAGAGTGGCTGATAGTGCAGAGGGAGGGGGAGCGAAGGGTTAGGTAAGCGCTATTGCACTGGACCTGCTACCCCAGTGAGCATGATGAGTGGTGCTGCTTAGAGCCAGACCACCTTTATGACTTTGGCATTAATCAGAAACTCACAGCTTAAGTTTTTAGGAATTGTGTTTGTAACGAAAAATCAGTAACAGCAGTGAATACATTTTAAAGGCAAAATGTTTCTAAGTCCCTTTTGCAAGATCATACATACCTCTTTTAGAAATGGTACTGTGTGTACTGCGTAGAGAATCATTTAAAAAATCTATTTCATACGGTATAACCTACAATTCTAGCACAGCTTTAACTAAACCAAAATACCTTTTTTCCTTTTTAGCTGAGGGAATTTGCTAACTTTGATTTTGATATTTGGCGCAAAAAATACATGCGATGGATGAATCACAAGAAATCTCGAGTGATGGACTTCTTCAGGAGAATTGATAAAGACCAGGATGGGAAAATAACACGGCAGGAATTTATTGATGGAATTCTTTCCTCAAGTAAGTTCCAAGACAGCTGACTGTAACTGATAGAATTCTTAAAGAAAATAAGCACACTTTAAATTGTGGGGCCAGTAAACTTGTGTTACTAATAAAGCATTGCCTTTTAAGTTGGCTAGGAGTAAGTCACTACCCTTAAAAAAGTATTTTTTGGTAAAATTTGTGGCTCTGGAGTCAGGAACACTCACTAACTGTGTGATCACAGATATGTTGTTCCCTTACTCCACTAAGGCTGGGAACTTGTTAGAATAATAAAGTTAATAATATATGATTCTTAAGGTGTTTTCTTTTGTGTGTGTGTGTGTGTGTGTGTGTGTTGCCAGGCATATGTGTAATAGGAAGTCAGTGCATTCAAGTCCCTTTCTTTTTCATTCTAATTCACATTCTGACCTAACTTTGTCATTAGTAGAAAATTAAAACTCTGTAAAAATCCTTAAGATACTTCTCACCTTCTTGTTTGAGGGACCAATCATTTGTATGTGATTTCCCTCACAGATGTTACTGATGTCTTTCTTAAGGTAAATTTCATATAAATTATTCTTTGACTAGCAATCGAACCATATAAACTTGCCAATGTTAAAACATTTTTAACCTGAAAAAAAAAACCCAGAATTTTTATGATTCACCTGAAAAGTAATTAAAGATAAGATTATATATAGCTGTTCATTTGCTGTGATGTAAATCAGTTTTTTAAAAAGGGATTTTTAACATATTTGATCACTGATGATTTAGCCAGCCACATTGAGTTTAATAAAGTGTGCGATTGAGGATGTCTTGAGAAGGAACTAACAAGTCACTACTTACCACTGTTTTCAAAACTTTAGAGTTTCCAACCAGTCGCTTGGAGATGAGCGCTGTTGCAGACATCTTTGACAGAGATGGTGATGGATACATTGACTACTATGAATTTGTAGCAGCCCTTCACCCAAATAAAGATGCATATAAACCTATCACAGATGCCGACAAAATCGAAGACGAGGTACTCATTATCTTTCCATTGCCTACAATACTGATAGTGTGTTCTGCCAGGATATCATAAACAATTCATACAACCATTTTATTTTCATTTTAATTGTTTGTCAAAGTTTTAAGAATTCTATGTAATATTGGCGTTAAATATTTCATCATTGTTTTTGGCAGGTGACAAGGCAGGTAGCTAAGTGTAAATGTGCAAAACGATTTCAAGTTGAACAGATTGGTGATAACAAATACAGGGTAAGTTTTCAAAATAACGTTGTGGTTTCTTTAAAGTATACAAATTGAAATCTGTGTACAGTTTGATCTCCATTGTTTTCCAGGAGTCTTATTCATTTATTTTTTTACCTTATATCAAACTTTAATGGTATATGAAACTCTTACTTTTAACATTTTAATTTGTAGGAAGGTAGCCTGCATTTTGCATATTAGGAAATATCTTTGACATCTACATAATGCACATTACCTTTAAAGAAAAAATATTCACAAGAAAATACTCAAAACTCATATGTTTAGGTTTCTTCATATTGTATTATGATTAGAGGTAAGTTTTCAGATTTCAGACAAGAAAACTATTCTAATCCAGAACCACAAAGTTAAAAATACTGACTCATTTTAATAAATATGAAAAAAGAGGGTAATGTCTTTTTTTACTTGTGCAGTAATTTTTGCTTTTATGCAGAATCTCAGTTAACTTGGTTCACTCTCTTAAAGCAGAAGAACAGTGTGACTTCATTACTCTTTCTTTACTTTTTTTTCTCCTTTTCGGAACATCTCTTATATGTAGTAACTAGATAGGAAATGTGCTGAGTTTCCCCAGTACAGCATGTTACTTACAAGTGAAACATTATTTTTATTTTTATACTTCCATATTAAAAATAAACATAAATGTATTCAAATTTTTTAACTTAGATTTGAAATCCTAAGAATTTTCAAAAATATGTGTACAGAAAAATTGCCCGATTGTTTGGTTTGAAATTGGGACAACTGGGCGCCTGCACATCTCTAAACTAGATACTACATCCAGAAGCACAGAGTGTGAGAGTGTGTGTATGTTCTAGAGTCATATAGAAAGTTTCCTGTTGAACTAATTGTGTCTTTCTTCCATTTTTCATTTTTATCAGTTCTTCCTGGGAAATCAGGTATAAACCAGTGGAATGTATTCTCAAGTTCCTGATGATTTTTTTTTTTTTAACTTTAATTCATAGTCATTAAAGCTTGCCATGGCCAGTCTTTCCCATGCTGTCTCCCTAGCTACTACATTGTTGGTTGGCGTGGTGTTTCTGTAAGCGCTATAAGGGTCCTTGATTCAGGATTCCTTTTTGCCTTGTGTCTCAAATGAGGAGATTACTATTAAGCAAACCAGATAATGAATTGTAACTCGGCTTGCTACAGTGTTACAGTTGCAATTTTTCGTTCCCGTTTTTGATAATATGAGCATATATTTTATGCTGGTACTCATTGGAAAACAAATTTGATTCTCCGCACGTCTCTGTGTTAGGCTCATTGGCGTTTAACTATTTAGGACATATGGTCCACAGTAGCTAAGGAGGATCAGCCTCAGGCAGTGACACGGGAAGACAGAACCAAGAGATCTCCTTAGCGCTCAGTGCAAGTATCACATTCTCTCCACAGAAGCTATTTGCCATTTGTTCCAAATCACTGATTTGGGGCTTGGCATCCTCTGAGTAGAAGTGTTAACTCAGTAGGCTTTAAATGATATCATTCTTTTTGAGGAAAGTTATCGCTGTAACATATACAGTATCTTAAAAGTCACATTTTATGCCATCTTGATCAAATGTTTATATTGGCACTTAAGTCACTAAAAAATATTTATGTTGACATTTGAGTCTGTATAAACTGTCTAGTGGCACTACATCATGAACAGAATTTTGAAACTAAAGACAAGAGATACTCTGTTTTGATTTAAACATGTTCATGAAGCTTTTTTTTCTTTTTTAAATTTTATGCTTTTGGTAAGAACCATGCTGTCTATAGCATCTGATCATTTTACATTAGACATGACTCTGCCACTCCATTTTAAAGCCATATGACATCTCAAGCTTCAGATTATTTATTACCTTCATTTATTGCAAGCAAATAATTTATTTAAAATAGAAATACTTTGAATAGATTTTTTAAACTTCCATTAGTTATACTATAATACATAAAATGTTGCTTTTCCATTCTTGCTATTTTCTGAGTCAGCAAATGGGAGCTGACTTTGTAGAAAGGATGAGAGAAATACTTACCTCAAAAGGTTTTAGTCACTGAAAGCATAGTCAGCAACATTAGTCTATTTTCTCTTGTCTTGTTAGTTGGTTATTGGGAAAATTTAGAGAAATACTGAAGACAATGTTAGTTGTCTGGAGAATGCCTTATTAACATAGAAAATTATTTATATTTATTACACTTGAAATATCATCTCTGTAAGGAACTTTTAGTTATTTCCTTATAACTTTTGTTTTGAGTATAATCTTAAACCAAAACAATCTAGTCCCATTATCTGGTTCCTTAAGGGTAATTTTCTTTAAATCCCCTCCTTTCCCTTTGCTTATTAGCAGCACCAAATTTTTTCTAACAAAATACATTTACGTTTTTATTTTTAAATTTTAAGTAACATTTCAGGAACAGTCATAGGAAAGTTTAAGTCTGAATGTTTAAAAAAAAGATTTAGAAATAGAAGTTTTTAAAATTTTAATGGAAAAACTCATGTGTTCCTGTTGGTGCATTTTACATGCTTTCTAGGTCTTTCTGAGTTTTAGGATCCTGAATGGGATTTGGTTGGTATTGTTTTTGGGTTTTCTTCCTGAAACTCAATATTAAAACACTGAAAAGTAGCAGATTTTTTCTACTTAAAGTTTTCTGTTTATCCATAATGAGCCCAAATAATGTCACAGTTGTATGTTACCTGCTTTACAAAGAAGCCGTTTATGTTTAATTGTTCATTTTGCTTTCTTGTCTGCTGGGATGGCAACCGTGAAATTCAGTCTGGTGGTTTTTATGAGTGGACATGAACCTATTAGAAATGATTTAAAGTATAAAATCATTTCTCACAGGATTTCAAAACATATACCTGGAGTCTAGAAATTTATTTCTAGGACTTGCACAATTTGTAGCATATCTACATTATTGGAGATCCATTGAAAGGGCAAGAAAAAGATGATTGTTAGTATCAAGAGTTACAATACAGACAGCTATGAGAGGAACCTTTTAGATGTGGCAGCCATATCATTAATAATGTGTCATTGGCTGTTCTAATATTACAGCAATCTAAAATGGTATATTAATCCAGCCTTTAACAAATTGGTTTACCAGATCATTAGGGATGCAGAAATTTTAGTTGACTGTGATATTTGTATGAGTCATACTCATTTACTTTATTCTTCTTAAGTCAGAACTGCTCTCAGAGAAAACAAAATGAGTTTATAAAGATTTCTCACAGATTTCAGTGGAAAACAGTTTTATTAGAAGAGATAGTTTTAATGAAGAAGAATCAAAGATTATTAAATTTTTCTTAAAATTATCTTATTTTGGATAAGCCCTGGTCAAGTGGGCCAGTGCTTATTTTCATGGCTGTGTTTAATTTCTAGAAACTTTTTTAAATTACTGCCTTACTAATACTGTTTCTGTCATAAGAAAGAAAATTAATTTTTAGACCAAAGCTTTGAAATTATTCTTGATAACCTTGTAATCTCTTTTTTTTTTTTTAAACTGTTTCCTTTGGGCTAAATCAGCATGCAGCCGTCTAACGCAAATCATTACAAACCCCCTTTTCTAAGATTTTACTAATCGCTATGAACTAAGCAAGAAATTAAAGTTGGTTGCTTTAGCTACTGCAAATTGCACATCATCCTGTAGTTTAGAATTATCATTGACAACTAGAAGTTCTTTCTTTCTTCACTGAACAGTTTGGAGACTCCCAGCAACTGCGACTGGTCCGGATCCTGCGTAGTACTGTGATGGTTCGTGTTGGAGGTGGATGGATGGCACTTGATGAGTTCTTAGTGAAAAATGATCCTTGCAGGGGTAAGGAGATGCTTATCATGACAACATCATGAAAGTATTTCAGTGTTATATTATTTTCCAGCACCAAAACATACCGGGCATAATTTTGGTCATTTATTCCAATAGTGAATGTTTCACATTAGTCTGTCAGCCTAAAGTTCCCAGAGAACCTGTGGCAGTCATGTAAACCATGTTCTTCTCATTGTTTTTTTTTATTTTTTTCGCTGGAGAAATATGGTGGGCGGGAAAACTAGAATCCATTTTCTTTAGGAGACTTTTACATCTGTAATTTTCCAAACAATTACACCGACCAAGGAAAGGATTTTGTCTATTGTTAAATAGCAAAGTAAGAGAAAAGAAAATTGAGGTCTTAAAGACTGAAAATACTGGATAATAAAAGTTTTTTACGAAATGAAGGACAAAAGTCAAAGTTTTTATGAAATGAAGGACAGGTCAGGAAAGCCATAATTAAAATGTTTTAAAATAATAATTCACTGCTAACTTGACTCTTCGAAGTTGCAGATTAGAACATTAAAAATATAAACATTTAATACTATAACTCTCTACATATCTTTCAGCCTGAGTCCTAGGTTAGCTTTTAATTTTTGGTTTCAGATCCTACTGTCAGTTTTTAAGTTCTTAACCAATTTATGTTACACGTGGTCATTTGATTGCAATTTCTAATTAGGTACCACTTAGTAGGCCCATTTTTCTCCCTCAAAACCAAAAAACAATAAAATTGTTATAATTTTCTTTAACCTGCGAGCTCTCTGTAGTCCTTTTAAGCAAACATCAAATGTTCATGTCAGTGCTGCCTCCTTCGGCTACCAAGTAAGAAGCCAGGTTTCCTTCAGTCAGGCCTCTTGGTTTTGGTGATGGTGTCACCATCTGGTACACATAGGCTTCTCTGCCAAGGCCACTATGGATTGTTATACAACCATATGCAGTAGCCCTGCTCTCTCCTGGCCAAAGACATGCCTACAAGAGAAGTAAAACAAGAACAAAAGCTCCTGTTTGTTTTATATTTTGAAAATAAAATACTCTAATGCGAAGTGCAACTCTGTTTATGAAGAAATCGGAATACATAGTGTTCTGTTTGGCTGCTTAGGAAGGTGAGCACAGCTGTGGCACAGTCTTCCAAATACATTTTTCTTATGGAGCCAAACCTTTGAGTGCTTCTTTTCCTGATGCAACTTTTCTTCTAAAATGTGTGCTAAAGGCCGGATCTGAGCACCCTTTGCATATTCAACTACTGTACTTTGTTTTCTTCTTCTGCTAACAGTATTCTTTAATGTGATTGGTATCCTGTGTCATTTTTTCTAGTTCATCATCATGGGAGTAAAATGTTACGTTCGGAATCAAACTCTTCAATTACTACTACTCAGCCTACTATAGGTTGGCAACCTCTCTCTTTGCCTCTCCCCTCTTTCCTTTTCTCTTTCCTACTTTTCCATTCTTGCTTCAGTCGCTTGTTTTAAAATAACATGCTTCATCCATCGCGTATGGCTTAACTCATATCCAACTGAGCTGGTGCTTCCAAATTTCAATTCTGAAAATTTGACGCACTTTGGTTGTGTTACAAATGCAGGTGTTAGGAGTGATCAAACACATGCTAACACGTTGCTCATCGGGTTCTTGTGGAGTGTTCTCCGTGTGCTATGTGTTTGTGTGAGTGCTGCTTCACTGATTACCTCACCGATCCTTGGGTCTGTTACTGCATGTTGGTAAAACCGTTTTTCAAAGCATAAAATAAAACTACTAGCTGCCTCATTTAAGTGAAAAATCTGGAAGTTTACTTGTCGTCATCATGACTAACAAGCCATCACTCATTCTGTGTAATTCGATCGTTTAATTAATCCCAATGTTGAAATATTGGCATTCTCTTTACCTCAATAGTACATGCAAAAGACGCAGTGTCTGCCTTACTGGTCTGTCTTCTCAGTGTGGTGAGGGGTTAATGAAACCATGTGGGCATCAGTAGCTGGTGGATTAATGATATTTTAGCATGAGCTTTCCATTTTCATGCTGACACTTTCTTTGATAGTGGTTATTCTTGCTGGTGTCTAGTGTTAGAATAAGCACACTTTATTTTTTTCCTCCCCAAACTCACCTGTATCCAAAAGGAATGCATTGTAAAGTAATGCATTTAACTTTTTGTTATGCTGAGGTGGAGTTGGCATGGCAAAAAGATGTTCTTGAAATTCTCAGCGTGATCTCTGGTGCCAGGTGATCGTTCTTCCCATAAACGATTGAACGCCTCTTCTTTTCCTTCTTTTCTTTGTGCGCGTTGTTGTGTGTGTGTTATCCAGCCAAAGGAAGGACAAACATGGAACTGCGTGAGAAGTTCATTTTAGCGGACGGTGCCAACCAGGGTATGGCTGCCTTCCGACCCCGCGGCCGAAGATCCCGGCCTTCCTCACGAGGCGCTTCACCCAACAGATCCACTTCTGTGTCCAGTCAGGCTGCGCAGGCGGCCTCCCCGCAGGTCCCTGCCACCACCACACCCAAGGTAGGACTCGGGGATGAAGACTTTTCCTCCCTCTTTGCAGTCAATGTCCCAAGTAGACTTTTGAATGTTCTATTTAGGGCCCTAGAATTTATAGGACCAGCTGTCTCCAGTTGTGCCCCTTCTCACAATATGGGAAATAAAGGATTTTTTTTTTTTTAAATAAATGCCTTTGCCTAGTGACCCACATAGAGATGATCTATTCAGGTAGCCTTTGTTATCTTCCAGATTGATTTTTCTTTTTGAAGCTTAATTTTTTTTTTTTTTTTTTTTTTTGTTTTTTGTTTTTTTTTTTTTTTTTTTTTTTTTTTTTTTTTTTTTTTTTTTTTTTTATTGTGAAATGTGACTCTTTGCTATGAATATCTCTTTCTGTGGCTTTGTTTTTTTATCTGCTATCCTTTACATTTGATTTGCCATTGTTCCATACAGATTCTCCATCCTTTAACACGCAATTATGGTAAACCATGGTTGACAAACAGCAAAATGTCAACTCCTTGTAAAGCAGCAGAGTGCTCAGACTTTCCCGTGCCATCTACAGAGGTATCGTAAGGCCCCAGAGTCCAGTCTTAACAGTCTCCTTTAACTGAAACCGTTACCCACCCACTAATGTTGCTTCACCACTCTCCTAATATGTGTACCTTGATAACCCTATGTCTTTTTATATACTTCTATAAAATAAGCATCAACCCAGCAGCTCTTGGAAGAGGGTTTACAGAAAAGATAGTCTGTAGCTTGTTAAACAGCGTCAGTTTAACCAGTCACTCCTGCAGACTCCTTTTTGTTCTCATTATACTTAGTTCCACTTCTATCTCTTGGGACAGTAAAATATAGTCGATAATATCCAGACTTAAGTAAAATTTCTAAAATTTCTTTTAAAGCTACTAAGGATACTAGATGTAATGTGGGCAAGAAGTGTAAGACATTCCCTTCAGATGGGAGTAAAAGGCAGTATCATTTGCAAGAGAATCACTGAAAAGAATGATGACTCAATGTTCACTGTGGGTATGGTCCATCTGAATTCAGTTACATTCACACCTGCCCCAAAACTTTGGGTGGGTATGACACAAACTCTCAGTTATCAGTGCAGGGGGTCAGAGGGGTAGGCTTAGGTATGCAGAAAGTTATCTGTCATTTTTAACAGGTAATAAATATATGTTTTTTTTTTTTTAAAGATCTTAGTAACTAATTTAAGCATGCTCTAACTTTTTAATATGATTTGATATATGGGGAGAAGATATTTAGGTGTTACAAAATTTGCCAAGATTAACTCATGTAGGTCATTTACATTCAATTAGAAATCAACTGTATATTGTTTTAAGAAACTTCTCTGTGAAACAACAGACATAGGCACAAAATAATGAGATATTTTATTAGAATCCCAGTAAGTGTGGAAAAAATCCCTAAATACCTTTTCTTGAAATTGAAGAAGTCATTTCGTCTTAATGATAAAGGACATAACTTAAAGGTCAGGATCCTCAAATAAAAGTAATAAAATAACTTTTAAAAGGCTTGTCAGGCTTTTCACAACACTTTCTTATCTGTTACTTAATCTTCACATTGATAATAAGCCGTAGGCAGAGAAAATTGTGTTACCTTCATGCTCCATGGAAATCTCATTGCTGATAAGGGGGAGAATTGGAACAAAAACAACCCCTTCTTTAGCATTTTCTCATTTCTTTCATTTCCCCAAGCCCCTCGTTTCCACCCCTTCCCACCAAGTGGGTGATGTTAGTATTAGGTATTACCTCTAGAGATATCTGTCAATTATTATGGGTCTATTGTAGCAAAAACTAAGAAAGGTTCAAACAACCTCAAGGAACATATAAACATTTCCTTGAAATACTTAAGGCTATGATGCTATGTTCAGATTTTTTTTTTAAGTAGAAACTCCCTGAAATTAAAGTCTAAGTAGTTATTTAGACTAATGCGAAATTGTGTTTCACTTCAAATAACCTGATGAAACAAAAACCAACCAAAAACCAATGTTTCTATGGGAGGGACTGTGAAATAAAATCAAAACAATCAAGGCATTCTGAGAATGATTTTGGTCTTTCACGGTTATGAATTCTGCCACCTTGAGTGATATGTTTCATAATTTGTGGATTCTCACTTGCGTCGCTGAGATTCTGTTTAAGTTAGGAATTTAGCTAGATCAGCATTCTCAGATATTGGGCAAATCACGTCCCTCCTTAGGTTCTAATTTTTCACATTTTCAAGGTTATAATTAGGCGAGTGTGAGGATTAATTGTGGTTATGTGTATAGAAGTATTTTGAAAACTTGATCATTCTATGTATACAAATCACATAGAAATACTACACCTAAATATATGTATAGTATACACATATGTAGATAAATGAATATTAATATTAATAAAATTAACTCATGTATCAGACGGTTATAACATTTTAAGCTAATAAAGGGAAAATCAATTGTTTAAAAATATGTATGTAATTTGTTTCAATGCATTTCCTCCAAATAGTTCTCTGGCTGTGTATTCATTGAGGAATATTACATTACAGTCCTTATATTCCTCAAGATACTTGTTTTGTTTTGTTTTGTTTTACTTTGGGAGAATTTTTTAAATGTAGCGATCTGGAAAAAATGCAATGATTATATAATAAATCTCATGGTTATGATTGCTTTAGACATTCTCTAAAAACTCATATAAAGATTGTAAAACAATTTTCTGCAAATGCTGCCTATGTATTTTGTATGTAAAGACTGTAGAAGTGATAGAGCCAAGAATTGGAGTGATATGGTAGCAAGTTATTTAAAAATCACTTTCTTTTTCTTATTGCAGTTAAGTTTGTTTAAATGATGTTTAAATGTTTAAATTATTTATTTACTTAGCATTCCATCTCTATCTCTGCCTAGCTCCATAAAAGCAATGGAGGCAGCAGAATATCCAGGCACAGCTTTCCTCTGCTCCATACCCCCTGTATGCATGCAGTCACCATCATTTTAGCCATACACCCTTAATTCTGTAATATTCACAGATAGTCTGAAAGATACTAACATACCATTTAACTTGTCGTTTTCTTCTTGCCATCACTTATGCTGAGTTGGGGGTCTCCGTTTTGTGTTTTCTCTTCAACCATGAATTCATATTTATTAAACTTTCTTTTGAATTCTGAGAGAGAATAAGAAATCAGAAGAGAAAATCAAGTGAGAATCCCATGCCTTATTTAATTGAAGAGCTTCACCCCCTCCACCTTCTAAAGAGGCATAGTAGAGAGTTTCCACCCATATGTAAAGAAGTGGGGTCAGTGGAATATCATGGTGCAGGAGCAATATTTTGAAATGTTTTGTCACTGGTTAAATACAGGGAACACCAATACAAGGAAGCAAGCTTCGACTTCCAGGGTATTTATCAGGGAAAGGCTTCCACTCTGGGGAGGACAGTGGCTTGATAACAACTGCAGCTGCCAGAGTTCGAACACAGTTTGCCGGTGAGTGTGGTGCATTTCTTTTTTCAATGGCTTTTGCAGCATTGTCATCTAAGGATTAAAGTCCCTTTTCCTCCTCATTGGACAAGAAGTTACAAACTGACCCTGAGGTAGTCTTAAAATAATAGGTAGCCCCAGTCCTCCAAAAATAGGGGATAAAGTGAGTCATGGGCACAAGTGTCTAAAAGTATCAAAGAAAGATAAAAGAATTACTGCACAACAACAGAAAATATGCAGTGGTATTCTGCCCCTTCAAGCTGAAAGGTCCTGGCTCTTCTACCAGCTCGGAGATTGCATAGGACCCTGTTTGGGGGTGGTTGGAAAAATTCAGCTACACTGAGCCTCATGCCAGCGTATCTCACATTGCTTTGCAAAATAGTAAACCTGCTAATCCCTGGGTTATGAGCTCAGCAGGCATGAAGCCTCTTTGAAGTTTCAAATCTCCTATGTTGAATTCCTATATTCTTGGAGTTACCTATTCCAGGGCAAGACTTACACCTGTCTTGTTTGTTCTATGTTTGCATCACACACATCCCTGGACACACAATTTAAACTTAGGAAGCACAGTCTTAAAGGATAGGTATATTCCTTATGTCTGTTTGTAATAAAAAGAATCCTGTTTTAAGTAGGGGGAGCCAAAACTTACCTTTTAGATAGAAATCTAGCCTTTTCTATATTATATCTACTTAGAGTAAGCCTGCACACCCTTGTGTAATAGGGAAAGGCCGTGAATCCACAAGTGTTTTCTGTGTGCCTACTACACATCTGGTAAAAAAGTTAAGATAAAAAGTGGCATCAAGTTTCAAAAACTGGTTGCAGATAGACCCGGTAATAAGGGTGAGCTGTCTCTACCTTCTTTCCTCAGATTCCAGGAAGACTCCCAGCCGACCAGGAAGTCGAGCCGGAAGCAAAGCTGGCAGCAGAGCCAGCAGCCGCCGGGGCAGTGATGCATCAGACTTTGACATTTCAGAAATCCAGTCCGTGTGCTCAGATGTGGAAACTGTCCCCCAGACACACAGACCTACACCCCGAGCAGGTTCTCGGCCATCCACAGCAAAGCCTTCAAAAATCCCCACGCCCCAGAGGAAATCTCCTGCCAGCAAATTGGACAAGTCTTCAAAGAGATAGTGCAATTGGTTCTCCCAAGGCCCTTCCTTGAGCATTTATTATTTAAGTTTGAACGATGTAAAATATGATGTAGAAATTCTTGTGAAATATTGCAAGAGGCGAGTTTAAAATTCTGCAGATGGCCTTATTTGTGTATTTGTCTTTTTATTTTATCTGTATAATTTTTTTGTCAGATATTCTGGGGTTAAAGTCACATCATATGTGAGGAGGAAAAGTTTAACATGAACTAACATTTCTGCACTGTAACGTGCAGGGCACACACTAAAATCAGTTACTGTACCTACAGGTAAGTCTACATCCTCTCCGATAGCCACAGTACGCCATCAATCCCTGACGTTAGGAATACCTCATGACACTTTCCTGTTTTTATGGAAACTCTGAGAAGCTAAATGATACATGCAGGGAATACTTTTTAAGATGATATAAAAGATGGAAGACAGACAAACACACCCACACACAGTCTTTGCAGTATCTTACAGAGAACTCACGAAAGTTACTTCGAGCACTTGCCAGTACTATGATACTCAAGTACCTTGCAGCATTTCTGTGCCATTGCTTTCAGTCAGGCCAGAGGCATCCTGGATATTAGACCTATTATACTGTAAGAATATAATTATAAAGTGCATTCATATACATGTGAGGTTTTCTTTTGCTTGAGTGGACAGTAGCACCTGTATCATTGAACTCATTTTGTATCAGAGCAATTTTGCTTGCAGAAAGCTATAAAATAAAACACGTCCCTTAACTACATTGCTATGGAATTAATTTTTTTTCCCCAGGGAAAATTAGTGTATTTTTTTATGAGCAATATCAATTTGGAGTGACCAAAAGATACTTTAAAATGGGTTTATTTTGATTTCTCATCTGAAATAATCATGTTCTGGTATTATATCTATATTTAATAAATATATACATTTTAATTTATTATGTATACTCACTATAGAAAGATATTAGTATGCATTTAATAAAACATATTCACTTGACTATATGGCATACCTGATTATTTAAAGTGAACTTCTATTATTTGTTTTAAATAAAGGTTATATGTATGATATATGTTTACTAAGAAAAAAATAGGCTAAATTTGGGGGACATCAAAAACAGGGCGTTACAGTAATGTTAACCACTTATTCAACATATATTTCTGATAAGTATCAGCCATGTGGCAGCCATTGTAACTGACACTGAGACTATAAGGTTACTCCCGTCCCCTCTTCAAGAGGGAATCAGTTAATCACTAAAAAGCAAGGGATGTGTGGAAGGCTTACTGATTTAATTAAGGTAATATAGTAGTATTCTTCTGGCCTGTGTACATTTAAAAGTCAAATTGTAAAATTTTCCTAAATATGAAAATAGTATCAGATATCATCAGAAAGATGGCAGAGTGTTACTTTAGGCATAAAGGTCCCAACATTCTGCATAACTTTGTGAATTTGCTTTAGCAAATGTCAGTGATGGTGTTCAGATTCAAGGGAACACCTTGAATTCTGTTTTTCCTTCGTGGCCTTTTTAATGGAGGCCAACACTGAAGAGCCTGAAGTTCCTACTCGCATAAATTAGGTGCCATTTTTAAGCTATGGTAATCCCTTCTTTGTCCAGGCATGGGTCTCAGGTGGGAGCCCTTGATAGAAAGGGTAATTCTAGCCTCTGAGATCACATGTTATATAGTTCATGCATTTGATTATTAACATGTCATCTTAGAAGGCAATTGAAATTGTTTTTATTCCTTTTAGTGCTTTGCATATGATCACATTTCCACTTCAAAGACAAATTTAAGGCATTGATTTTTATCTCAGTCTGTTTCAATGCTACCCCTCTAAAGGAGCTAGGGATTTTTTTTAAGTAGGAAAATAAGCTTTTTGAAAAAGATACGTGGTTTAAAATAAGTCTTAAGGAACTGCTCCCAGTTATCAGCATTTGCCCCAGGTGAGCTTTTCAAACTTTGACCTGATGCCTGGTCATTTTTCCCCTCTTGAGCTAATAGTCCCATCAGTATCTGACAGAGAACTCACAGAAAGTTACTTCAAGCACTTGCCAGTACTATGATATTCAAGTACCTTGGAGCATTTCTGTGTCATTGCTTTCAGTGAGGCCAGAGGCATCCTACATATTAGACCTATTATATTGTAAAAATATAAAGTGCATTCACATACATGTGAGATTTTCTTTTGCTTGAGTGAACAAGCAAAAGGCTGACTTCTCTAGAGTCGTCCTGTTAAGTTTCAGTTAATGTAGTTACGTGGTTATTCAGTTAATGTAGTAGAAACACCCCTTCCCTACCCTACACATACTCCTTCTCTTTTCTTTTTTCTCTTTTAAATTGTTTTTTCTTTAAAAAAACAGGACACTAGAGTGACACAAATTGAGTGACACTCAATTCTAAAAATCGTAGTTGGAATAATTGGATCTTAAGCATTAGGGAAGCTGAAAAGCGGACTTTTTTTGTTTTAAAAATCAAAGCTCCTAATTCTTATGTACTGCTACCTTATTTGGAAATGGTGGACTGTCCTATTTGGCATCCATGCAGAAGTAGATGGACCTGGCCAAGTCTCAGATACAGGTAGAAGAGCTTGGGAAGTGCCCCTCATGACTGTCCGGGATTGACCTGTAGAATGAAAAGGAAGAGGGAGGTGAAGTAAGGATCTTGTTGCCTTTTTTGGATCATTTTAAAACTTACTTTATGCATTTGTAGTAAGGGAAATTGTAATGAGATACAGTTATCTATTCCTTTTTGACAAGGTGCTTTTAAATGTGTGTTCTTTATTGTTAAATGGTGGTCTGATACCCCCAAACTACATTTACCAGTGCCTGCTTCTCTGTGCATGATAGCACTGCCACTGAGGTCCCACAAAGAAGGCAGAGACACTTGAGCTTTGTCTTTTAGTATAGTGTTTTAGTAACTAAGGTCCTTTCAGCCATGTTGGGGATTGACTTGTCAGTTACCAAAATCTGTTTGGAACAGAGTCAAAGACAAGGTGTTTGGGCAGGAAATACTTTGTATGACTATTTGAAATATCTGACTTAACCTACCAAATTCTGCAATGTTGGTTGATTTTATGTAACTCTTAATGTCTATATAGATGTTGAGTGTCTAGCTAGGGTGAAGTATAACAAAAATAGACTTCTTTTTTTCTTACTACTATTTCTCATGCTAAATTAAGAATATATGTAAAGCAAAGTGTGTTAAGGGAATTTAATATTAGTTTATCTATATTTTTATTGTATTTCATTACTGCAAATTAAAGACTGCATCAGAGAAGAAAATAAAATAGAGGTTAAGAAGTTTTCAACAGTTTCCCCCAAATAAAAATAAAACATTTTTTTAGAAAGTTACTAATCTTAAAATACAGTTTTTTTTGCCCCAGCACAAAGACTAGGAAATATAGATCCCACAGCCTTAGAATCTAACTTCTATGCTAATGCCCTCTAGACTTCTTTGTTGGCATCTTCTTATCAGTAAAAGTTTTTTGTGCAAACACCTCCGATATATGTATATTAATTTATTCCAAGATATTATTTGTATGTATTTTATCATTAGCTAATTTCTCGGGCAGGGCAAACTCTAATCTTAAGATTAATCCTAACAACACTAGTGTACATCCATAGTTCAAATAGCCTTGACAATTATTTTGGCCAAGTTTTTGCCAAATCAGATGAGACTCCTGATTTAACTCGCGGCATGGCTGAGTTTTTGCCAAATCAGATGAGATTCTCTCTGATTGAACGCCTGATGTTTAACTCCTTTGTTCTAGGAGAAGTGTTATCTCTGCCATTTTTCTTTTTGTTTGCTTGTTTCTTGCATTATAAGCCTCTTAGATCCATGGTTCTGTTGCAGGGATCTGTTTAAGCTTATTATTATTATTTTTGGTAAAGATTATTTAATTCAGAAGAGTTAATAAAAATCTGTACATTCACCCAACTTGACATAAATAAACTTCATTGTGCTGCATGTGCTGAGAGCAAACCAAGGAGTATGAGACCTGTTGGGACTTCCACTCTGCCCTTGGCTCACCTAAGCTACAGACTCTGAGAAGATGCAAATGACATGGATGTCACTGGTGAGATGGTAGCAGTGTTAGTCTGTAGTAAATGCCAGTGAAGGTTAATTTCTTCCTCCTTAATGAAATGTAAATATAAATAGACATTTTCTTCCAACGTCCTATGAAGTTACTTTCCATAATCTAATTTTAGGGATCATTGTTCTATACTATTTTCTTCTTTATACCTCTTCTCAATCATCTTTTTCTAGAGAATGGAAGTATCCTATAAATTTTCTTCCTTTCTCTTCTGATAACTAGTTTTGCAAGGGCATGCACACTTGAGCTACTTGATTATGCTCATAGTGATTTTTTGAAGTTCACATTTATGTGTCAATTTTGGATTATACAGCACTAATATCTCATATGAAGTTTTCAAGCAGCCATTGAAATAGTAAATAAATATCATTTGAATTGTATAAGTAAATGAAGCTAGAGAGGTTTTTATTTGTCCAGGATCACACAGCTAGAAAATGACTGAGTAGATAGATCTTTTCAGGCTGAGACCAATGATCCTTCCACTGCCTCTCACCATTATACCAGGGCTTACGCATTATTTTCTAAAAGGTGGCAGCTTCATAAGAAAGACGTGATCATAGCCTCTTTCAGGAAGCCATACCACATCTGGATTTTCCAGAGTAGCAAAATTTATATTAAGATAGTTTTAAGCTCTTCTTTGGAGTATTGGAAATGTCTTATGTTCAATAACCAGACAAATTTTCCATTGTTTCATGTCTCAGCCTGATCACGTTCCAAACAAGTCAGCAAAACTGATTTGCTAACTGAGGTCTGATTTGAGGCAGCTAAATATTTAATATCCTTTTCCACTTCAACAATAACAAGATGCTCAGTGAGTTCCCCTATAAAGTCGTTTCATCATTTAGTGACCAGAGTCCCAATTCTTCCCCTTCTGCCAAATAGGCATCCCAAGTGACTTCCTTGAGTTAGACTTTTGAATATTCTACCTTCTGCTTAAGTTCCATGACATAAATAGATAAGTGCTGGAACTCCTCATTGACTATATTTCAATGTGCTATTTTTAAATCAAGTTATTCCCCAAAAATATATTTCAGGTGTGGAGACCTATACAATGTGACCTAACAAAAAAAGGTTCTAATCAAAGATATAAAGAGTGATGCACACTCAGATTTTCTTGCTTCATTTTTGGTCAGCTTGAGTACAGTGCTTTATAAGGTGTTCCTGGGCATTTATCCTGATTTTGTCATTCAAACACATTTCAAATTATGTTAGTGCTTTCATGTATGTGTTCTTTTGTTCACTCTTACCTCTAGAATGTATCTTTTAAATATCAGTTTTATATATTAGCGTTAGAAGGATCGTTTGCTTTTGTGAAACCATGTTTGAAAGGTAGTTAATTCTGTGAAGCATTTGTATTTAGTACATTTGTTTGATTTTTATTGACTGCATTTTGAAATTAAGATATCTTACACATTCAGTGATACATTTATTGTCAGTTTCTGATTCTAAAACCACCTGTTAATTGCAGACAATTTAGAAAATACATAAAATACTAAGAAGAAAATTAAAACACTGACCACCTAAATACTCAGAATACATCATGGATAAATGTGGAGGATGAGTGTGATTGGCAGTTTTTGATGTCATACTGTACTTTCATTTTGGTATTCCCAATTATGTTTTTAGATTAAAATAGACCAAAGACAGTGTAAGTTATTAGTAATTAGTATTTAAAGTTGGAAATAAGGTGATACTTGTGAGCTATTGCTGGACAACATATTGTTGTAAAACTGTGACTTCAAACTAGTTATCTCACAGTTTCTGTGGTATAGAATCTGAACAACACCTAACTTGGTCCTCTACTTCAGGGTCTCTTATGAGGCTGCAATTAGGATGCCAGCTAGGGGCCACAGTCATTCCAAGGCTTATCTGGAGCCAGATCCATTTTTGAGCTCACTCATTGGTTG